GGAAAGGAAGAGCAAACTGTTCCAGTTGTTTGGGAGTGATTTGAGATTTGTGAAGTTCGTGTCGGATATATTGGACTCAATGTGTTGAAGTGGTCAGTCACATTTTGACTGATACATATTCTTTTTCGTGAAAATATGATAAATATTTAATGTCAGATAATAATTCCCATGAACTGATTTGAGATTGTGTTCATGACGATACACAGGACTCAGTTGTTGAGGTCAGTCTGTCTTATTTCTGACAGATATATCTTACTTCGTTGAATTATGCGTCTTGATAAATATTTAATGTCGGATAAGAATTCCCATGAAAACAGTATAAGGAGGATGATATCTGGGTAAAAAAATATCATACTTGTTAGATGCCAAGGATTGTTCACGTAGTTTTATTTTTGTCTCAACGTATATGTTCACATGTGAACAACTGTCCGATCAGTATTGGGCTAATGTGTACTCACTGACACCCCCTTTACATCATCCAGTTACAGTCGTCTAAATACTTTAGACATATATCCATTTTGTTGTTCTTTTTTAACAGTTCATGATCTGTATTTTTTAAATTGTCATTTTTATTAGTTCCATGTATTTCACCATGAATTTGTATGTCTGATACACCTGTCGTGTTTCAAAAAGTAATAAAATGTCATAATGCATACTTCCATGTCCGGTTTTATTTTGAATAGTATGTGAAGCATCTCGGCTGACGTGAAGACTTATACACATCAGGATGTGTGTGTTGTGAAGGACCTTCACATCGCTCCACCATATGGATGGCAGTGACAGAGGTCTGTGTGCAGTGAAACACCATTAATACAAACGGTACTTGTGGTAAAATCGTTTAGATTAAAACACCGCTAGCTTGATTATCGAATCAAAGGTATACACAAACTCACGCTCGAACGCACGCACACACACATACACACACACGGCTTCTATCGTGTTATGCTAACAGATATCGCCCATGACGCTGAAGTATAATAACCTTACCAACACACAAAACGTTTAGACTCCCTGCATGATATGTGTTATACATTCATATACCATCTGATCAGTTTTGTCAGTAATACCAGTAACAGCACATGTACACTAAAAGCCAAAACATACGTTACCCTCCTACCTTTATGAAGTACTTAAAAACTAGACATGATATGTTAGAAGGTATTACTTCACAAGAAAGCTTAACAACACAGCTTTATGCAAATCACGAAACAAAATCTCAAATGCATTCATATTTAGGCGAAATGAATCTGTTCAGAAGAGTTAAATTGTCTTATTTTCGACCATGCCGAAATAAACCAATAACAGTGATTTAGATGTCCGAAAGAACGGTTGAAATAAAATTCTGCTTTTGGACAAAGATAAACCATTTAAAATCGCCATTTTTCAGCTATTAAAACAAGAAACAACTGTTGTAGAGTGTGTAAATATGTAAAAGAATCATTCCTATGATTTGAGTCTTTTCAAACACTTCCTGCTGATTTGCATTTGTGAAAACAAGTAAAAGGTGCCTTTGATATCTTGAAAAAGTGTTTAGGAACACCTAAAATTATCTTTGTTAACATTTGTGCTCGCAAAGTAACATTTTTCCATTTTCTGTTTACACATAGCAATATTAATCGCCAAAACGTAGCAAAATTCAAGTAATATTTGCATCAATTTCACGTGTGGAATGATGATTCTATAGGATGAGTGAGTGAGTGAGTTTAGTTTTACGTCACACTCAGCAATATTCCAGCTATTTGGCGTCGGTCTGTAAATAATCGAGTCTGGACCAGACAGTCCAGTGATCAACAGCATGAGCATCGATCTGCGCAATTGGGAACCGATGACATGTGTCAACCAAGTCAGCGAGCCTGACCACCCGATCCCGTTAGTCGCCTCTTACGACAAGCATAAACGCCTTTTGTGGATTCTATAGGGTATAAAGAGAGCCTAGAATGCATGATATGATACGCAAGTACGAGAACTATGCCGCGATTAACAGCTGAAGAGAGAAAGAGCCATTGGGATGGTGCAGATGGGATCGACATACAATGATGTTGCCAACGCCCTCGGATGCCACCGTATATCACGGTTATAAGACGTATTCAGCGCTATAGATTGGGGTCACCGTAGACAGACCAAGAAGTAGACGTCCACGCATCACAATGCAGCAGAAAGTTTCATCCTCACTTGAGTAGATTTTAAGAAATTAATTAAGGAAGGAGGGTAACATTTCTTTTGGCGTTTAGTGTATTTAATGATGTATCTACGGATGAAGCAAGAAACATGTGTAGACATGTGTGACCGACATATGCACTTATGATTGTGTTGGAATACTCATAGATGCGTATGGAATACTCAAGCTTCTGATGTTCATTAGTTTTTAAAACTTTATATGAATGTGATCGCTAAGTCAACCACAATTTCTGAATTGTTACATAGAGATTATCTGAAGGAGTTGTATATGCCACGACAAGATTAATTATGCACTCATTAAAAATTATAGAAACGCACAAGTTTACATTGAAAATATATATTTTGTTAAATTATGTGCATGTTGCATATAATCTGATTTGATATTTGCACGTGTACTATGCTTTAATTCTTTTTCCATGACAATTTCATTAAATCTTACCAAAATTGCTTTACAAAGCTCCATAGGTTCCAAGAGGTTGTGTTTGTGCACTAATCCAGTAAACGAACGTGTGACTGATATCGTTCCATAAATGATATGTTTAGTGTATTGAATGTTTTATGAATAAACAAAACCAACATTCACATTATAGTCTACGCGTTTCTTTCTTTTTCTTTTTTGAAAGGGGCAGTGGGGTAGCACAGTGTGGTTAAAACGTTCGCTCGCCACGCCGATGGCCCGGGTTCGATTCACCACATGGGTACAATTAATGTGTAAAGCCCAATTTTGGTGCCCTCGCCGTGATATTTCTGGAATCTGCTAAAAAGCGGCATAAAACGGAACTCGCTCACTTTTCTGAAGGGTGTATTTTGGTTTTGTAGGTTTTAAGTAGATACAAAAAGAAGGAAATTTAATTATGGGACTCAAATCTGTGCCGCCCTTGCTTTTTGCTTCTTAAAGCTAGAACGTTTACACTAATTGTTGACAGAAAACATGCTGAAAAGGTTTACAACATGCAAACCAGATGCACTATTCTCAATGACTACTTGGCGGTGGAGTAGCCTAGTGGTTAAAGCTTTCACTCGTCACGATGAAGACCTGGGTTCGATTCCCTACATGGGTACAATGTGTGAAGCCTATTTATGGTGTCCCCCGCCGTGATATTGCTGGATTATTGCTAAAAGCAGCGTAAAGCCAGACTCACTCACTCACTCAACGACTACATGTGAAGGTGAACACACCTTGACCTGGCGTTGACGGACGCTTCACAAACGCAACTTTCTGGCTTTGTGCTAGATTGGCATCATCTCAGTGATCTGACTGACTGAGTTTGGTTTGACGCCGCTTTTAGCAATATTCCAGCAACATCACAGCGGGGGACACCAGAAATGGGCTTCACACATTGTACCCATGTGGGGATTCGACCCCGGGTCTTCGGCGTTTCAGTGATCTAAGGTTGATATCAGTAATTAGCATTCGTGGGTTTGAAATTGATGAAAGCTGCACACGGTACTGTCTCGGCGAACTATGAAAGCGCAAAGTCACAGTTATAGCAAGTTGATTCAAGTCGTTAAATAGAACACAATACCAGTTCCTACTTTCACAAAACTATCGAAGTATTAGGACGGTATTGGGGCTGATTTACGATCGCATCCTGGGCCTCATTGAATCAGATCGTTTGGGGAAGCTGAAATTTAATTAGTTCAAATTAGCTACAAGGATCTTACATTTAGATTAGGAGTGAAAGTTCGCTCGTGATAAATACGACCTTTACCTTTTACAATTGTTGTTAAATGACTCATTTCATAATCTGAAAGAGAATGCAATTTTCATATGAAAGTAAGATATCCTGTATATTTGAGTTAATGAGAATAAAATTCAGAACGACACCGTACCCATCTAAACTAACTGAGAATATTTTTAAGTTACTGAGTATAGAATTCTGACGCCATAATGGGATTACCGACGAATAAAATTTAAACAGTACAAAAACTGTTGAAATTGTTAATCGATCCATGTACATTTCTATGCAAACACTACATCGTGGATATATTTACGTTAAACACGTATTTTGGTTACGACTTTAAATAATTACATATTGAATACATGTGGATTTACTGAAAATACACGTCTATGGTACAGACTGTAGATGGCAGAGGTGTACACTATCAGTGTATGAAATAAGGCCCGTCCGACCGCCCGAGACGGTCTAGATTTCAGAAGGACGGTCTAAATTTACAGCTTGCCAGCCCGATGGTCTGGTAATATTTTTTACATGTTGCATACATCTGAGTAAATTCACCATATTTGTTCTGGTTAAATCCATTTTGGGCTGATAACATTTTAAAGTTACCAGCCCTGATGTTTGGCTGGAATTTTGGCTTATTTCATACACTGACACTATACCACAGCATGTTATTGTAAGAGGTCGGCATACGTCTTGTGTAGTCCCTGAATACTTATGCCTTTACTGACTTCAGTTTCCTACAAACGCATTTTACTAAACCTGACACCAGAGAAAATATGCGTATATAGTACATTTATATTTTCGACATGACGAAGTGAGCCTGACAACTGCGAGCAAGATCACGAACAGTCTAGAAGTGCCCGACTCGCAATAAGCTCCGCCCACAATGCTATTTTTAAACTCGCGATTGCGCATTGGCGTTGTTTCGTCACATCCGTAAACAGAAACACGTTGTCACCTTGTTCTCGAATTAACTATTACATTCTCGAGGCGTTTTCTGGATGATTCGCGAGGTTATAGGTGTGTTGTGTAGCTGTATATAAGGCAGAGGGATTTATCTGACCGTCATTCCAGCATTCAGCTTCAACACTCAACACGACCGACGACTGATCGTCGAAACAGCGAGAGCGTCTAGTATATACAACGTAACTGGGTTATATACATCAAATTAATTGCCTACATCTTTGTCAAGAAAACGACACCGCCTACAACCATGTTGTTCCACGTGGTACCCGAAGATATTTTCAGAGAGCGTGCCGCATATTCAAGACCCTGCCATTACCAGAGAAACCCGTGTTGTCAACAGCAGCAGTTGGGTAAAATAGGCTTTCTAAACGACATTCTCCGTCCTCTCATGGTGATGTCGCACAACAACCCTCAGTCAGAAAGCTGTCACGGTAGACGCCAATGTGACACAGAAAAATGTCAGCGTGTCACACGTCGAGGGACACAGAAGGGGGAGTGTCCTACCCAGAAACGGCAGTCGCAATTCATGACTGCAAGCCTCGATTTCCGCGGTTTTTCTGCAGATGAAATAAAAGTGAAAGTCACAGATAACTCCATAGTTGTGTGTGGCCGACATGATGACCCCAGCAACTCCTTCCGGGTCACAAGAAGACTTCCACTACCACCTGGTGTTGACAAAACGGGAGTTATCTGCCGATATGTTGAAGGCAAGGTTATCCTCGAGATCCCCGCGTCTGCAAAACACAGTGTGGAGGACAAACAGGAGAGGCAAGAGGGCGAGAAGAAAGCTGAACACAAAGAGAAGAAAACCAGATCTAATCCAGCCAGGACAAGTGACACAGATGATGAGGAGTACGACGGTGGAATGGAAGGAGAAAAGGAAGTTCAAGCAGCTTTTCAAGAAGGCATGAAACACCTGTTTTCCACTATGTTTGGCCTTCCTGTTGTTGAGAGGAAGGAGAAGAAGGATTTGTCCAATGACAAGGAGGAAGAAACTACTAAACAGACGACCACAGATCCAGACAGAGAAGAACCTCGCCGGGTAGATGACAACAAAACGACAGCCGGGTCCTTTGACAAGCAAATGGATGTCGAGGAAGAGAAAGGACAGGAGGAAAATACCTGCCTAATGTTGAAGTATGACGAGAAGCCGTCTCTCAGACATGACCCCAGTGACATCGCTCGCCTGGAGGAGCAGACGGCAGGTGAAAGTGCTCCACGAGAGCCGACGACAGACCGAAATACGGACGAGGACGAAGAAGTAGAACGACTGATGTCAGATGGAGATGAAGATGCCGAGAGTATACTGATCAAAGCCGACGAGAATCTTCCCGTCACCTCATCATCACAAGACTTTGAAATTCGGTTCGATCTGTCCAACTACAAACCAGAAGACATCCGGGTAGTTGTACGTAATGGTGACGTCACCGTGGAAGCCGAGCGTGAGAGCAAGTGTGACGGGTACAGCGAAACTGAGACACTGCGAAGGCGCATTCGTCTCCCAGACAAAGTGGACCAGTCCATGTTGACGAGTGTCCTGAATGCAGAGGGCGAGATGACCATTCAGGCGCCATTCCTGTCTCAGACGATCAGTGGAAAGGAAGGGCAAACTGTTCCAGTTGTTTGGGAGTGATTTAAGATTTGTGAAGTTCGTGTCGGGTGCACAGGACTCATGTGTTGAAGTGGTCTGACACATTTTGACTGATATGCTATTTTGTGAGAATATGCGTTTTGATATATATTTAATGTCAAAAAGCTGATGATAGCTCCTTTGAAAATGGTATTATAAATTTGATGGTTCCATGAAATATTATATCTCTGTGATATCAAGAATTGATTACATTATCTTGGTTTAGTTATAATCGTATATTTGTAAATGAAAGCTATTGTCCTATTAGTATTTGGTTGCCTTGTGAACACTCATGCAATTACCTACCTGAAAATTCGAGATATTTCATTGATTTCCATTTTGTTGTTGATCATTGTTCACAAACAGTCCAAGGCCTTATTTTGTCATTTATCAATTTCATGTATTTCACCATGCATTTGTTCTTGTTCCACAAAGTAATAAAATGAAATCATGCATCCAGATTCAAAGATTTTTCTTTAAGTGCTAGGTAGCAGAGTCACCCCGCGTTTTATGAGGATTTATGTCATATGATGTACAAGCTGCGCTGAGGAACACTCGCACTGCTAGACCATATCGATGGATGTAAAAGGGATCTATGTTCAGTGAAATGCCATGAATTTAAACGGTACCCATGATAGTGAAATTATCCAGGTTTTCTTAACGAACCAGTGAAATTATCTCGGAGAGAGACTCACAATACCCTCACACTCAGAGAGAGGACACGGACACTGAGAACACACACCATATTGTTTCGGACCTATTCTAAACATGCCCTCTTGAACTAATGTTAAGAGAATTGTCTCTCCATCTATCCTCCAATCTGTCCGCATGCGTCATAAACGTGTATTCAGGTTGTGAAAGTACAAAGACCCTCCTATCATTTTAGGTGGTTTTTTTTCCATGCACTGCACACAAGACCCATTCGTCCAGGGTCGTATCCCATGCATTGAATACTATAATGAACATGTATGCAGCGTTCTGTTTCTCTCCGTCGTGTCGTACACATGCTAAATCATCATCATATTAAAATAATATAGCTGCATTAAAGTCAAATATAATGTATTTGCACCAGAGAGTAGCAAATCTCACTTAGGGACCGTTCATAATTAATGATGATGGGGTGATCATGATTTTAGGTGTGTGCGTGCGTGCGTGCGTGTGTGAGAGAGACCTATTTTGTTCCCGGGGGTGGGGGTGTGTCAGCAATTTTGTACAAATGTTCTAGGGGGGCAGCAATTTTGCACATGAAAATACTAACTAGATATGCTTAAAAATTATAGGAAAGGGGATGGGGGTCATTGATTTTGTATATGACGTGGGGAGAGGAGACTTACTTTGTACATAAATTTTAGGGGGTCATTCACATTGCACATGCTTCTCCATAAAAATCATCAGACCACCTTCTACCCTACCCCCACCCCCACCCCCAAAAATTCAATCAATTAATCTTTATTTCAGTACTGAGGAGGCCACAGGCCTATAGTACATTTCATATATACATCTTTCTAATCGACATGGCTTGATAAATGAAAACCGCAACATTTTTAATCACAAATTCATTTGAAGAATTCAATAGAGAAGAAAATTTAGCGATTGGTGGATGGACAAAATAGAGTTCTTTAATATATTTACTACATGTAGTATTATATGCTGGGCATAGAAGAAGAAAATGATATTCGTCTTCTATAACAGTATTATTACAACATCTACAGATTCTATCCTCTCTTTTGATATTCATAAATCTACCTTTTCAAGTAATAAATCATGAGATGAACAACGGAAACGAGCTAAAGCTATTCTATATTTCTTAACATTAACACATGATAAATAGCGTTCAGTATAAATGTGTGTTTTAAAGATTGAGTAATAATTACATTTTATTATATAGGTAGCATTTTTCCTGTACCACGATTGGTCAAAAAGACCGTCACATGATTGACTACAAAACACGATATTGACTTGAGTTTTCTGATAAATTATGATATTGACTTGGGTTACTAAAAATAGACAAGGAATCCCGTACGAAGGGGCTTCCCCCGCTTTTCAGCCAATCAGATCACTCGGATAGATGGCACAGTGTGTGCATTAAAAGTTTATGTTAAAACCCGTTTCTCTTTCATTATATAATAAAACAATTATAGACTCTTGTAGACGTCGATATCGGTTTTTATTGACCTGAGAAAAACAATATCGACCTCGCAAGCTCGGTCGATATTGTTTTACTCAAGAGTCTATAATTGTATATTGTATCTACTGAAATTGTTTCCAACCATTTCTGCTGGTAAATATCTCTTAATCTTTGCGTGAATACATTTAGAAACAATGACGAACATTCAACATTTTGTTCATATCATAAATGATTAAATCCAGTTGAAAAAAGTAGGTGTTTAACATCTGTTATCCAATTCTTTTTACCTTCTTTGTCATATAGTAACATTATACAATTATAGACTCTTGTAGAGGTCGATATCGGTTTTTATTGACCTGAGAAAACAATATCGACCTCGCGAGGTCGATATTGTTTTCTCAGGTCAATAAAACCGATATCGACGTCTACAAGAGTCTATAATTGTTTTATTATATAATGAAAGAGAAGCGGGTTTTAACATAAACTTTTAATGCACACACTGTGCCATCTATCCGAGTGATCTGATTGGCGGAAAAGCGGGGGAAGCCCCTTCGTACGGGATTCCTTGTCTATTTTTAGTAACCCAAGTCAATATCATAACTTATCAGAAAACTCAAGTCAATATCGTGTTTTGTAGTCAATCATGTGACGGTCTTTTGACCAATCGTGGTACAGGAAAAATACTACCTATATAATAACATATTATAGCATTCTTTCGGTAAATGGTAGGATGGCATACTTAATAACCTTACCCAATATTTAATCGCCCTGATTTGTGAAGATAAGATGAGCGGGTATCTGCCACATTCCCCATTTACCGTAACATTTGATGTGCTCATCTTTATTTACCCCGAAAAATTTCTTGCAGGCAAATAATTTGAAATAAATGTACCTTTTATATTGAATCATAAATTATGAACGGTCCCTTATTCGCCGAAACAGACTATTGAAAATTCGTCAAAACAACATGAGAGGGTCACTGAAACTTAGTGATGGCAGTTAACAATAGTCCTTCCATAGTGATAGCAGTTAACAATAGTCCTTCCATAGTGATGGCAGTTAACAATGGTCCTTTCATAGTGATGGCAGTTAACAATATTCCCTCCATAGTGATGGCAGTTAACAATGGTCCTTCCATAGTGATGGCAGTTAACAATATTCCTCCCATAGTGATGGCAGTTAACAATATTCCTTCCATAGTGATGGCAGTTAACAATATTCCTTCCATAGTGATGGCAGTTAACAATATTTCTTCCATAGTGATGGCAGTTAACAATATTCCTTCCATAGTCATGGCAGTTAACAATATTCCTTCCATAGTCATGGCAGTTAACAATATTCCTTCCATAGTGATGGCAGTTAACAATATTCCTTCCATAGTGATGGCAGTTAACAATACTCCTTCCATAGTGATGGCAGTTAACAATGGCCCTTCCATAGTGATGGCAGTTAACACTATTCCTTCCATAGTGATGGCAGTTAACAATTTTCCTTCCATAGTGATGGCAGTTAACAATTTTCCTTCCATAGTGATGGCAGTTAACAATTTTCCTTCCATAGTGATGGCAGTTAAAAAATTTCCTTCCATAGTGATGGCAGTTAACAATATTCCTTCCATAGTGATGGCAGTTAACAATATTCCTTCCATAGTGATGGCAGTTAACAATATTCCTTCCATGAGACGGAAAAGCAATGAGGTATTTTGTCCTGACAGAGATGTATTGATAATGGTGATACATGTGTTGAGCTCTTCCAGAACAATAGTACTTGTATCTTCGCTTTACAAGTCACAGGTGACAAGAGAAACGGTCTAAAGGCAGTGTGTGATAATTATATCACAACCCACTCCACAGCTAGCCCTGCTATTTTCAATATCCCTGCATCTAATCAATCAAACAAACAGTGACTCTTGATATGCAAATCGGGCGGGTGCAATGAAAGTTTACAAGCGGAATTAACTGCGTACGAAGTCGGAAAGATGCCGAGGAACGCACCACTGCTTTGATTGAGTGAGTGATCTCCCCTTATACCAATATAACATACATATGTCTGCGAGAAATAGACTTGCACAAGTCTCTAAGGTAATAAATAATATGATAATTTCTAAAAGAATATGAATAGAACGAATACATTGTCCCCCTAACAGGCTGGCGTTCTTCGGTAATCTAGAATTGCCTCTTTAAAGGATAGAATTACTATATATCCATTGGCTTAGCATTCAGTACAGCCTTGGAGCAAGGCTACGCGAGAAAGAGCGTCACACACTGAACCACTTTGGGATTCAAACCCATGCGTTCAGCGAGACGAGCCAACAATAACCACGCCGTCCCAGTCACTTGTTACTGATGGATTCTTTGTTTTAAACTGTTTACATAAACACACGTCAAATCACGGTGGAAACGTTGTATATTTCACGCAGGTGTTCGCCGGATGTATCACGTGATGTCATAGTTACGAGTTTAAACCAATCATGGCTCACTTCCGCTGCACGAGTTTTTCAAGCGCGTTACTTCCAGACTCCATTACCAGAAGCAGAAGTGGCGAATATTTAAAAACTGCGGTGATAATGTTCAAGCTGCATAAGCTAGTAAGAATTATTTTCAAACTGAGATGAACATGCGCTAGGATACCTATCAAGATATTACTGACGGGTCAGTGAAGTTCTTTTGTAGATTCTTTGGACTGCTCTACTGTGATTGAAAATAGGGGGGATGACATCATTGCAGTGTGCGAAATAGCCACTGGTCCGCTAGCCCGTGGCGAGTAAAAATCCAGTCGGGCCAGTAAATCTCCACAGTCACTGGCCCGACTGGCTAGTGAATTTCATGGGGTCATTTTGTAAATATATCACTCTCTCCGACTTGTTAAGTTATAATACACTTTTAAATCATGAAAGATTATGGCCTGATAAAAATGTTCATCATATAAGCAGCTTAATGATGTAACCCGGATCTACATTCAAGTTTCGGGCTAGTGAATTATTTTGTGGGCTAGCAACTTTCAGGCATAGCTAGCTCAACTGGCTCGCAAAATTTGGAAACTGTTTAGCACACTGCATCGTTGACGACGCTGTTTCTATAGGGGTTTCTTCAATAACTAGTAGCGACCCCGCCCCAGTCTGTAACAAGGCACTTGATCGGACGGCGACAACTGTCAATCAGTAATTATCCACTTTGTGAACCTCACGCTATTTTGGGGATCAAAATAAACAACCGGTTTAATCAACCGACGGCACTGCTGGATGGTAACTGAGTGACCTTCAAATCATCAAATCAAGGACTAATAAAGACAGCCCCCGAGAGTTTCCTGATAGATGGAAGGTGTCAACTCCAATATTATCACAGGTCGGCAAGTGTTTGTTTCGTGACAGACAGACAGTTTATTCAAGTCTAACGAGGGTACACAATATATACATATGATGTGAGTTAAAAAAGAGTAAATAAAAGTACCCTAGCCATTCTTTATATATAATCTAAAATACTAACTGAAAATGTTAGTGAAAGGTAATAAAATTACAGCATTCGTAAATATGTACATGATTTTATATTAATATCATAGGGTGTCGTTGTACCGGTGTACAAAGCAACCTTAACGCTACGACAGTCGTAAGTCTATGTTAATGTATGGGAGTTGCGATCACCTTAGCCTTAAGATCGCTTTGTACAAGGCAGTTACATTCTTAATATATTTTACCTATGTACTATTTTATGTATGTCATGAACACAATCGTCCAGATTGAATATTGTAATTTTTTTTAGTTAATTTGTTTTAGTAGTGTCTCGTAAGCCAGTGTTATGGCTGGGTGATATGTGTCATCGAGGCATTTGAAATATGGTTTTACCTGTAACATATCACTTTAATAAAATATATCCGTCTGTCTTTCTGTCTTTGTACAATGGCACCCAGGTCGGCAAATATCTATTTCACGTGAAAACCAAGCCCGCCCGTCTCCACAGCCTCTGACCACCAATACTGTTAAAATAATGGTCGAACATTTCGACGTACTCACATCCGATTCTTTAAGGCTAGAAAACGTGTCGGTCTGTTTGACATGTAAAGTGCCCTTTACAGTCGGTGCCACTCTCCGGCTCTCAGTAAGCATAACATCAGTGCCACAGGCTAATTTGCATATCGCGGGACCGTACTTTTCTCTTTTTGTAATCAGAAGTGACTGGCCTAATGCAAGACTGTGTGATGTGACACATCGTCACGTGGCGGTTACCCGAGGTACACGTGCTATGCTGGACGCATGGAACTTTAGGTAGGAGTGTGTATCATCACCAACGTTTCAATATACTTAAGTTCTGGGAACCTCGTAGAAGATAATCTGATAATCGATATTCACGGGAGAATTAACCTGTATATTTTAATTAACACAAAATAACACATGTCAAGACTGACTGACTTTATATAAATTACACTACATCGAGATGGCATAGCATTTGTACAGATATTTAATGTCTTTGGTGATTATTAATACAATACCTGTTCGTGAGAAGGGTGTAATACTGAAAATGTAACATTGTTTGCACAGTAGTAAATAAAAATATATGATATAAACATGTATATAGAAATATATTCATGAATGTTTGACGTATATTTGGCAAAACGAATGTGATATGCTGATAAAATACCTTTTGTGCGGTAATACTGTTCGTGGAATACTTCAGCAAATGTAATGCTGATAAAAAATATCTAACAGATTCAATGATAAAATTTACACAGTGAGTGACTGAGTGCAGTTTTATGCCGCTTTAAGCAATATTCAAACAATATCAGAGCAGAGGAACCAGAAATGAGCTTCACGCATGGGTTTGTTTCTGGAGAATCAAGCGTAGATCTCCAGCGTAGCCAGCACACAGACAATCATCATCATCAACATCATCATCATCATCATCATCATCATCAATAATAAATATAAAATGTAATATAAATATATAACCCAGAAGGACAACAAAGAAAATAAGTAAACTTTTACGGACGTTTCAGTAGGTAATGAGCATATCGGCTGGCTATAACAGATAACTGAAGTTTAGCCCAAAATATCTTACAAACAACATTGTTGGGATAACTTAACCAGATAACAGTAGATTATTGCCTTAGAGAATAGTACATCCCCAGCAACACTGTTGTGGATAGTCGGGTGAGTACACTTTCCTCTCGTTCCCGTACACCCAGAAGCGGGTCGTCACATCCTTCCAGCTGTAATGAACCTCCGTCACAGGGACGCCCCTCAACACTTGTCGCTGAAACAACGGAGGGCAAGAAATAGCAGTGAGTGAGTTTGGTTATACGTCGCGTTTAACAATATTCCAGCAACATCACGGCGTGGGGACACGAGGAATTGGCTTCATATATTGTACTGTTGCGGAAATCGATATTCACGTGAGAATTAACATCTTTGGACTAATGCTTCAGTTACCTGGAAACCTATTTCCAGGAGTTTGGAAGACATGCAATATTTCAACTTTGCCCTAGTCCGACTAGTTTACCCATGCTTATCGTCGGATGGGATTAACAACACTGGGTGGTCAGGCTCGCTTACTTGATTGACTGCATGCCATCCTATCCCCGCAACGCACATGATGTCTGGATTGTCTGTAGCCTAGTGGTTAAAGCGTTCGCTCGTCACGCCGAACACCCGGGTTCGATTCCCCGCATTGGTACATTACTGGTGTCCCCCGCCGCGATATTGCAGGAATATTGCCCAAAGCGGCGTAAAACCACACTCACTCACTCACTCACTGGATTGTCTGGTCTGGACTCCATTGTTCACAAACAGCTGTCATATAAATGGACAGTATATGGAGAGCGGAGTTATACAACATACAGACAATACCTACCACGAGTGAGGTGTGAAGCATGATCATCTGTGTTAATTAAAGGGGCGTTTCCTCACAGTATGCTGCATTATGATGTTACCTGCATAAGCTGTCTGGCTCCAGGAAAGCCCCCCTTGTGTTGGTTCACCAGTCTGATGGAGTTCTCGTTGATTTCCCTGACGAAGTAGGATGTGATTGGCCACACCTGGAGCGAAATGTATGAGTTATATGCCACAATCAACATCGTAAGCAAAAAGATACTATTCACTTTTGAACAAAGAGGTACACTCCAAAATCACAAAATGCCATGTTGTCCACGTAATCTGTTCGAACTGCACGGGAAATGTATCTTTTAATCGGGAAGCACGTGCACAGGCGTAGGGGAGAGTTTGCCTTTAAATGCATGTGCAGGCCCACGTTCAATCAACCTGATTTCAGCTATGAGTTTAGTAAGTTCATGTTAAAGCATTGGGGTTTTGATCGTCTCAGTCCTTTGGCAGATTGGTACAACGAAGGCCAGGACTTGTTTATCATCTGCTTTACATTTATTTTTATGTCACCAATACTAAAGAAACTGCGTACTTTCACGGAATAAGAACCGCCCTCCTTTTAACGATCTAACTCAAAACAGCAAATATCTCAGCAAAGGTTATTCAATCACTTCTCATTGACTGACTTCGGCTTATGTATACAAGATTACTATTGTTTGAATCTCAAGGGACCAAATTTCCATTTCGAGTCATCGTGTGTATTTATGAGACGAATTCGTGTAACCGGAAATCAAATGATGACAAAAAAACAGCAGGGAATGGTCGGGACCGACAGGTACTTCGTGTTATGCATAATATTCCAGACACCGGCATTCGACTCATCGGGATTTGACTGTACTTGAATATCGGCCCTTTGGATTTCAGTATGATACAAACACAAGTATATTTATATCTAGCTAAGTCCGTCAACAAAGTCCGTCATAATTCAGAATACCGAAACACATCAACTCAATGACCTGTTGTACATTTTGAAATTTTCAAGAAATAGTCAACTTGTTTCGTGTATTCAGTGTGAGTATAACGACCTACCGGCATGAGCGTCTGCTCGAAGATGGCGGTTCCGCTAACATCCTTCACTAGCTCATCAGGCATGTCAGTCCGCTCCAGGATGTAGTCGTCTTTGTTGTTTTTACTGGAACAAAACCCATTCTACAACTCCAGCTTTTCAAACATAGTTACACTGACACACGTGAATTCTGGCTAGAGATGAAACAAACAGTAGAATACTGAAACAACTAGAGTTTTGATAATTTGTTTCTTATCTATTGTTGAACGCCGCTATATTCCAGCTATTCGACGGTCTGTCTGGACTAAAGAATCCACTGTTTTGTTAACTGACATTGTACCAAAACATGGGGTAGTTTGATGAAGACTTATTACTCTGAAACATTTGGGGAGTTTGGAATACGACTGAAACAAATATCAATAGACTTGGGACATTGTTTTCTGTTCTAGAGACTTGATATTGCTTTATCACACTGCTGAAACATTTATTGATTTCCCCAATAGGGGCGGTGGTTTAGCCTAAAGACGCCGAAGACTCGGGTTCGATTCCCCATATGAGTACAATATGTGAAGCCGATTTCTGGTGTCCCACGCCGAGATATAGCTGAAATATTGCTAAATGTGGCGTAATGCCATAGTCACTCACGCTTAGAACAAAACAATCTTCCAGCTGACTCTGTGCTATGACGCAGCCTCGCAAACTGACCACTCTCTCGCTTCATGTCAACATACTAGCATTTCAGTTAATTCTCCAGCTTGTGCCCTGGGTTTACTAGCTATCCCGTCATCCTTACTCACGTACTCACCCACTCACTCACTCACTATAAGTGCATGGACAGTAGATATTTCTAGAAGTTAATTAACGTCCGAGTGTAGTTTGATAAACTGAAATAGAGGTGGTGATTTGAACTTACAAGGTAACTTTGAGCTGGACGTAGCATTTGAGGTTTCTGAAGCCGTCGCAAGTCCTACATGTAATACGGCCGTCACCACCACACGTCATACACCTGAAAACACGAACATGTCATTGTGACTGTAAATATTCCCAATACACATGCGTGTACATTACTTCCTTCTCTGTGTGTGTGTGTGTGTGTGTGCGTGTGCGTCTGTGTTGTCTATGACGTCTTTGTTCATCATCCACGATTGTACAATATTTAAGAAATGGCTTTCACTATGTGTGAGTACATTGGAGTATGAACACTCACAGAGTGATGGCCATTGTATGGAGGTGAATTGGAGTTATTTTATCATTAAAGAGTTCTTGTGATTAGAAACAACGATTCAGTATGTCTTCATGCCCGGGCGTTGCAGGAGTTTCCGGTAATGTGGACGTTGTCCGTCAGTGTTGACGTCATTTCAGGAATAAAATGTCAAGATGGATGACCAGTTTCACAGTCGTGCAACAGACATCTAGTCCAATAGAAAGGCCGTGTAACCTGCCAACGTCACATTAAAACATAATGAAATGCATGTTGTTCTAAGTGGCCAATATTACGGGTACACATTACCGACGACCACAAATAAATCAGGTCAAAACTAGGGGTTTGAAACAGGAAGCAGCGATTTAGGCCAAGAACCTATAATGCCTAACGGACGTGATTGCCCCAGTTGAATAGATATATGCATGTACGGAAAGCCAGAAAACTAACTTTAACTGGATGGAATGGGCTGTCTGTATCATGCGTACGTAGAGAGACGTGAACAAACCTTCGTCGGCCGTCGCCACCACAGGCGAAGCAAGGCTGAGGTTGCATCCCTTGTTCATGCACGTGCACCATGCGTACGCCGTCACCCCCGCAGGTGTGGCACCTGACGTTCCCCCAGCCGTGACACCTGTGGCATCGGTTGTAGCCCCGGGCATCACACGCGTGGCACGGCTGAAATTATCATATTGTAGAGTGTTTAGGTAAGGATAAGATAATATTATATACTCACTCACTCACTCCATTTGCCTTTCAAAGACTCCTCGCCGTAAACAGACCCGTGAAGATTCGGGTTAGAATTGATCTTCAGTAACCCATGCATGTCGAAAGAGGCGACTAACGGGATCGGGTGGCCAGCCTCCCTGACTCATCGTATCCGAATTGCGTAGATCGATGCTCATGATGTTGACCACTGGAATATCTGGTCCAGACTCAATTATTTACAAACCGCTGAGTGTGGCGTAAAACTAAATCACTCACTCACACTCATTTTAAACAAAGAAGTTGTTCATTCATATATCGTATTCTTACATATCCCTCCAGTTTCTATATGACTCTCAAAGACATTGTCAAGAATATCGTTCACTGGACATGCTGGATGGTTTGAAAAATAATGTGTTGCTGATGAAATGAATGTTTAACAAAAGAAACTGTATCAGGATTTGCAAATACTTATTGTTCCCTTGGCATACCGGATGTCCCGGAAAAAAAAGTGAAATATATTGCCCTCACTTTAGAAAATGTCGCTTTTTTAAGTAGTGGCCCCAAATAGTATTCTGTCTATAATAGCAGGCTCCCACCGAACATACAGTGGTCGAATCCCGCCTTCTCCACCCAACCCAACCTGCCGACCGACTTACCCTAACAGTGGCTGTGTGTGGCACCTCAATGAGCTTCTGTTGGTCAAGGAAAAGTGAGTCAGCGTTGCAGGGTATAGCCCAGGGAGGTGGTGGAGGGCCGTTCTCGGGGCCGTCGACAAACCCTCCCCTGTAGGGCTCCGACACGTACCCCGTGGACCTGAACTCCGTGTACGTCTCCAGCGTGTACTGCAACATACATACCACAGCATAATGTCATGTGTACTGTATGGTACCACCATAGGAGCGGTGGGGTAGCCGAGTGGTTAAAGCGTTCGCTCGTCACGCCGAAAAGCCGGGTTCGATGCTCCACATGGTACGATGTATGATGCCATTTCTGGTGTCCCCCGCTCTGATATTGCTGGTATATTGCTAAAAGCGGCGTAAAACCATACTCACTCACTCACTCACTCACTCTTTCTACCATATACTATAGAGGTCATTTGAAGTAAATACGACATCTTTAGTTAATACCGAACATAAACGGGCATTTCCGAGTGGAATTAATATACAGATGTACAGAGTCGTGCAAAACGTATTCGGACACTTGACGTAATTTCAATAGACTTACATATTAATTTAGTGTAGCTTTAATAATTTTCATGAATTTAATTTTCGTAATATCCAAGTCAAATTTTGCACATTTGTGAGGAATCATCTTACCTACAATCACATAGTTTCTGTTTAATTTTCCATTGCTTATTTATCGAAAGGCAACAATTTAATCAACATATGTACAGTGCCGTGAACTCCTTTAACATGGCGGCCTATGGGATTGTGCATTGTGGAACCATACATAAGCTGATAAATATGATGTCATTAGTTAAATAGTTGTCGGAAAATTGAACTGAAATTATGTGCGCAGAGCAGAGATCATTTCAAATTTGCCTGTCAATTTTTACAAAGATCCATCCTAAACTCACTTCATGAAAATTATTTATGCTACGCTGAAATAACATGTAAGTCTAGGGAAATTACGTCAAATGTCCGAATACTTTTTGCACTAGTCTGTAGTTCTATAATATTGTCTTGGATATGTTATACACGCTGACGTTTCTGACCTTTTTCTGTCGGGATTATAACAACTAAGACATGACGTGCACATCTGGGCCCCGTTCGTCGTAAGTCTATGTTAAAGTATCGGAGTTAGTTGAACGGCCACGTGAAGATCCGCGTTAGAACTATTCTTTAGCAACGCATGCTTGCCATAAGAGGTAACTAAACAGGATCGCGTGGTCAGGCTCTCCGACGTGGTTGATGTATGTCATCGTATCCCAATTGCGTAGATTGATGCTCATGATGTCAATCACTGGATTGTCTGGTCCAGACGCATTTATTTACAGACCGCCGTCATATAGCTGGAATATTGCTCAGTGCGGCGTTAAACAACAAACAAACAAATATATCGGTATGGTGTTGAATTATACCTACATGCAAAGCATGACCAGGGGCTATGTTGGTGATTTTCATTTCTTTAGCCGGAGCTGAACCAAAGCAGCAGTGCTCACTGACGAACTGGATCATGGCGTCCCTGCACGCCCCCTCGTCCATGGAAGTCAGGCTACGGGAAGAAAAAATACCTTATGTCTTGGGGATCGACAAATCCTAGGGGACATGGCATTGTTGTTTGAATGGAATATCTTTCTCAATCGCTGCTTCATTTTTTTGCTAAACCTGAGGTCAGTTATATCTTTTTCAGGTCCAAACTGTAAGAGTGAGGAAGTGAGTTTAGTTTTACGCCGCACTCAGCAATATTCCAGCTATATGGCGACGGTCTGTAAATTATCGAGTCTGGACCAGACAATCCAGTGATCAACAGCATGGGCATCGATCTGCGCAATTGGGAACCGATGACATGTGTCAACGACGTCAGCGAGTCTGACCACCCGATCCCGTTAGTCGCCTCTTACGACAAGCATGGGTTACTGAAGATCAATATTCTAACCCGCACCTTCACGGGTACCAATCTGTAAGATGTTCACATCTGGGAATTATATTACGTAGATAGATCTTTAAAACGTATACTGGCATTTTCTGGTCCAACCGAAACAAGAGCCTCATTAACCTATTCCGACAATGACCTACTATTCAGCCGATCCGCGAATTTTCTCGTGTGAAAGTGAAAAGAGACACCACAAACAACTATGGTACGATTTCAATTCCTTGTTTCATAAGAAAATGGTATTTACAAGTTAATTTTGATTTTAAACTTTAATAACATCGTATTTCTATATTTTATGGCGAGGTGTAGGCAGCATTACCTAACTAAGACGTCACAGACTGCCCCTGTTTGATGAGGTCGTAAAATGATTCACAAGTCTTCTGGCTAACTGGTTACACCTGATATGTGTTCTTTGCGCTTATTGAATGTATTTTTGTAACATACAATGTGATTGATATGATATCAAGTCCGTACCAGACCGCCAAACGTTACTAGCGGCCAAGCCTCGTTATGAGATTTCCACGATTTCCAGATTTCCGTTTGTCAGAGCACGCTGTACGACAGAGCACGCTGCACGTCGTGTTTGCGAGGGTTAGAAGGAGCGCAGTGTTGCAATATACAAGTGCTTAGATGTATCAAATAATACTGATTAATATTTATGTATCCAGTTCAATGAATTGGTCGCAAAATTCTGGACTGGTTATTGTACTAAGTTGCGCAATAGGACGGAACCCAGTCAACAGGAAACGAGACTGTTTTGTAATCAATGTTTTCAACCTGCTATATAGAGCACTGGATATCACATAAATGTAATTTAAATCTAATGCAAACTATATTTCAATAATTTCAGAGATTCCCTTTATACTTACTTCCCAAAATCCATCTTGGGTGGTTCAGGCGGGGGGGTGGAGGAGGGTGGCGGGGGTAGAGGAGCCACTGTAAGAAATGTAAATGAGAAACTGATAATGTCTAGTTATAACTGCTAATTCTTGTTATAACTTACAATTTCAATTTAAAACTAATAATGTTGAGTCATGACTAATATTATCTATTCAGAACTGATAATGTCTAGTTATAACTAATAACGTCTACTCATAACTAAAATGTCTTGTGCAAATAGTTTCTGTAAAACTGAATATGTAAAGCCAAATAACTTGTATGTACTATTTAATAGTGAGTCAGTTAAACTTATAGCCGCATCGTCAATGTTTAAGCCATGCAGCGACTAGTATTTAACAGAAAATTTAGACAAAAATAGAATAACACTCGTGCCCTAAGAATTACAGACTATAACAAATAATAGGCACTGGCGAACGTGTTCAAATCACAATCTGTACCTGCTCATACGATGAAACTTTTGACATATGATAAACTCGATCACCCTCTTTATAAGGTAGGTGTGAGTTAATATTTCAGACGCATGTGAGAATGATTATTGATATTATATATTGCTTGATTTCCAAAATACCAGGTATCGACTATACAACTGGTTCGTTGACAAAGAATATCTACTGACAACGATTGAAAAGGAATATTGTTTCAACACCTATTTTAGCACAACACCACTCAAAGGATCAAAGATGACGTCACAAATAGCACATAATAAATAGAGGATTCTAAACGACCTTCCGTATAATACCAATTTTATTAAACGAGTTAATGATTTGATACTAAATCTTTCACGAGTTTAATAAAAATGGTATTTCACGGAAGCGAGTTTAGTATTCTGTTTATTACTCTCCAACATAAACTGATGGAAACATTTCGGTTTAACCTTCTAGTCTAACGGGAGTCGGCATCATCATATTGAAAACATTAGCTTAGCTATTAGAAATTGCGACACTATTGTATCATATAAATCAAATAAAGACAAATGTGAACCTAAATATTATTCATATGGAATAAAGAGGTTATATGTTTGCCCACAATATTAAGATATATGACGAGTGCACTTAATTACGATTTATTTAGAATAAATATTTAAAATATGACGCATCATGTCAATGTGGCCATGATGTGAGAATGTTTTTCATTACTTCCTTGAATGTCCATTGTATACTACTCAAAGACATAAACTGTTACAATCTTTAGAAAGTATTGTTAACATTAGAACAATGATTGGTATTAATTGTATCTTACATGGCAATGCAGGTGTCTCATTTATTGCAAATCAGAATGTTTTCAAATATGTACATATCTATATCTCTCCAACAAAACGTTTTCTCAGTTAACTTCTGTTGTACATATGCTATTATTGGGAGGGGTCTTTTCTATCAATAAACACAATCAAACCTCAGTGACAAACCTGTTTTTATATTCGATAGTAATTAATAGTAAAATCAGTTTTGAGAAGAGAAATCATTTATCTTTTAATCACAACAAAGTTCTATTTACCCACAATCAAACTTCTCAGTAACGAACCTGTTTCAGGCTCACCCTGCTCTACTCACTAGACAGTGGACTGTTCCATTATACCCGTAGGTGTTAACCTAATTAACCTTCTAATTCAGTGTCTGTCAATTGGGTGTCTGTCAATTGGGAGATAACCGATAGAAACTGCGGCGAACTTACAGTGCGATGACTCTCAGCTTTCCGCGAGTCAAGCAAGGTAATACCATTGTGACACTGCAGTATTAGTGCAGGGGCTTTTGTAGCAAAAATGCTTTCAGTGGGAAGTGCATGTTAATTTTTGGAACCATTGATAAGTGGGATCAGTGTTGCATATGGATTCAGAAAAAAACATGGTTCCATTTTTTCTGATGATTATAAGTGTCATTCTTGGGTAACTGAACATCGGTACCCATAATCGAGCTGCAACACCAATGTGAGAAAAACATATTTTTATAAACCGATCACAACATAGGCATGTAGTATGTCAAAATGTACCTTGTGATGTGTGTTTTACACTACCATTATATATCATGAATCTCAATAACATATGTATGCATAATAATCACTATAATCATAATTGAGTTTGCCCAAAACCAAAGGTTTGCTGCAGAGGGTATGCATCCAACCCTCTGTGTGTGTGTGTGTGTTGTGTTTTTATGTATTACCATCTTTACTCAAATGCTACTTGATGGATTTCAATGAAACTTTCTGAATCTCCTGCGTATGTGCCCAGGACAAATCAATTAGATATTGAAAAAGTACACTCTTCAAAAAAAGAAACGCAAAAGCAAAATATCATTGAAAACTTTGGTCTTATTCAATCATGTAAATGAACGAAAATAAACGGTACAGCATTAAAATTATGTAGAGCAAATACATTGGTATCTCGTGCACATTTCGCAAGAATGATAGTCATCATAGTCATTACTGCTGTCCACGAGGTGACGTTGACATTACTGCCTTGTATGGCCACCTCTTACTGCTTGAACTGCACGACACCTCCTTGATACAGATTGAATCAGTTGTTGGATGTTTCGTTGTGGAATCCTTCTCCATTCCTCCTGCAGCATGTTGAACAACAGTTACTGTTATAGCCTCGATGGCGGATTACGACGTTGACATACAAGTTTATCTATCTGATCCCACAGGTAATCAACTGGTTACAGATCCGGGGATCTGGAGGGCCAGGGCAGCACATTGATGTTGTTATTGTCCAGGTAGGCCATTGTAGCACGTGCTGTGTGAAGTCTGGCGTTGTCCTGTTGGTACAGCTTCTTTTGGCGGTCGACAAGACGATGCACGTGAGGACAGAGAATCTGGTTGGTATATCCCACGGCCGTAAGACTGCTTTGGACGAGCACCAATTCCGATCTGCAGGTGTATGAGATTTTCCCCCACATCATCACAACATGTCCACCAAATCTGTCCACTTGCCTGATGCAGTTGGATGCAAAACGTTCATTGCGTGGTCTGTAGACACGTTGTCTTCCGTCACGTCGCTTGAGGGGATACCGCGATTTATCATTGAACCATATGTGCCTCCAGTTCCAAGGTTGCATGGCTGCACCGCGTTACACCACCTGACTCACGGACGTTGATGTAATCGTGGCAGAGAGTGGGCAACTTCTGGACGTCTGGCACGCATACCTACCTCTCGGAGACGGTTCCTGATTGTCTGGTTGGACATTTTCCGGGTTCAAAACCGTTCTTGTGCTGTGTCCCGGGCGGAACGATGGCAGTCACGTAGGTGGGTTACCCGGATGTAGCGATCTTGGGCTGTGTGGTGACTCACGGTCTTCCTGGTCTTGGATGGTCATTTGTCGAAATGGAATGCACAAAACGATCCCACAAACGAGTTATTGTGTTGGGATGAATGCTGAAGGTCTTCGCCACGACACTCTTGGATTCGCCAGCTCGTAATCGTCCAATGGCAATATTTCGGTGGGCACCGTTGAGACGTCCCATTTTCTCATCCAGTATTTGCAAGGGTTTTAGATGAATTTGTGAGATGCATTTGGGTCTTTTATAGTCATAGGTTGCACGCGAAAAGCAATAATTGCGGCTTTTGGTTGTGTTCCATACCAGTCGAGCTCATCTTGACAATCATGATCGATAAAACCATTCAAAATCGTTTATGGTTGTATTCGCTCACGCATGTTCTTCTAAACCATACCAACAACAATATTTAACCCTCAAAACATGCTTATTTTGACATTTGCGTACATAGTTTCATTTCTTCATATTTTATTTTGCGTTTCTTTCTTTCTTTCTTTTTTTGAAGAGTGTATGTTAAAGTACATGTACCCAGAGGTACTTTGAAAAGTTCGCAATGTTAAATAAATGGAGAATATGAATAATATCTCAAAAAGTTATAGAAGGATTTCCATGAATCTTGGTGGTTATGTTAGGTATGACACAAAGGCCATCTGCATACGGTTTGGTGAAAGTACATTAAAGCACAAGTACACAGTAGTACTTTAAAAATGTTATAGTGAAAGGAAATTGCTGTGCAAGGCGGAGGCATGTTCTCTAACAAGGGCCCCTTCTAGTTTCCAAATTAAGTAAAATAATAATTCATGCTTGTGCTTGTATGACAAATAATGTCGAACCTTGTATTTCAACAGCATATTTTGTTCTTGCAGGTTAATGACGGGTTGATTGACTTTGCAAGTTACTTAACAATGTGAAAGTTAAAATAAACATACTAGCGCACATAATGTATTGCACTTGCATACCCCACTTGTAATATGTAGTTATCTGTTTACTGTGATATAATTTGTCACTCCTGTATTAATACATTCAGTTTGTATCGACTGCAGATTTGGCTTTATGTCATTTGTCATTTAATTACCCAGACACGAGTGTCAGTGTGTTAATTCTGACTGTACTGGTAGGCCTGATTTTACTTGTACACGACTATATTAACCTTATCTGGGTACTATTATTACTACGTACATAAGTGTGTCATGGTAGTATATATTGTGAAATGGGAGAATACATAAATTGAATAAATGGTTTCCATTAATATAGGCCAATACTTACAATGTTGGTGTCCGATGAAGGAAAGACAATATTTGATGAATTTATATGATGTCATATTTAATGTCACCAAATTGAAATTAGAAGTATATTATGTGGTTATCTCTATGTCATACATCATAAGCTGCCTTTTGATATGATATATGACTATGTTGTGATAGGTTTATGAAAACATGTTTTCTCGAAATGGTGTCGCAAGCAATTTTGGGAACTCATATTGAATCACCCCACAATGACAATTATAGCAAACAGAAAATATGGAACCATGTTTTTCCTGAATCCATACACAACAGTGATTACAATTAGTATTGGTTCCAAAAACTGACATGTAATTACACAAGCCCCTGTACTATATCCTACACGGGCGAGTAATAGCATATACTAAGTAATGTATGATAACATTTACTCGCTGAAAGATAATTATGATTATATTTATATTGAGGAAGAACACTACTAAAAAGAATGGGAATTCAATCTTATTGTTTTAATCAAATCCCAGTGATAGTGTGCACTCACTCTGGTTGAAGCCCCCGACATTCTCGTATCCCTGGAAGGTTGGCATTCCCTGCATGGGCGGGGGCCCGAACGAAGGGGGAGCGGCTGCCTCGTTGTCCACTGGTATCTGGGTTCCCTGTCTCCATTCGGGGGGTGGGGCGCCGCCCATCCCCGCAGTCCACTCTGTAAACACACATAACCCAGCCGGGGAAAATAATATGTGCAGGTAGGTAATCACCGTTCATTGCATGTAATGATCAGATTGTAATTTAAAAAGAATAGGATCAAGTATGCTGCTGGAACTCATTTTCCATCCTATTGAGTTTCAGTCAAATACTTTTGAATCTTCAATTGGTCACTTGAACGTTAGCATTTGCCAAATCTGCATCCATCTAGTCGCTAGTAGCGTCAGGTTGATATGTATACTTTATGGACAGAAACAATATTGGCTATGAGCTACTTACGTTGTGGGGGCGCCCCCGGCATTCCTGGATGTCCATAGTCTGAAAATACAAACATCGATCACCAAACACATTTCTAGATGGAAGATGCAATGAGTTGGTTAACGGTTGGTCTTTTTGTTTAACGCCGAACTCAGCAAATTTCCAGCTTATGGTGGCGGCCTGTCATTAATCTAGTCTGGACCAGACAATCCAGTGGTTCAACATCATGAGCATCGATCCACATAATTGGGATACGATGACATGTGTCAACCAAGTCAGCGAACCTGAACATCCGATCTCCTTAGTCGCCCCTTACAACAAGCATGGGTTCCTGAAAACCAATTCTAACCCGGATCTTCACGGGTTAATGGACACAAGTGAGTTCGCTTTAAACAATATTTAAGTTATGTGATGAGTCAGCTTTGGACGACAGCCCAACGTGTTTGTTTGTGTTTCTTCCTGCTGGACGCCACACTCAACAATGTTCTTGCGTGATTGGGGCGGTGGGGTAGCCTAATGGTTAAAGCGTTCGTTCGTCACGCCGAAGACCTGGGTTCGAGTCCCCACATAGGTACAATGTGTGAAGCCCATTTCTGGTCTCCCCCGCCGTGATATTGCTGGAATATTGCTAAAAGCGGCGTAAAACTAAACTCACTCACTCACTCTTGTGTGATAGCGGGAGAGTGGGAGCATCGATGCAATTGGATAGGATCAGACATCATCGACCCAGTCACCAAGCCCGACCACCCGATCCACTTAGCTGCATAGATTGCTGGACCTGTATGAGGTCTTAGACAAGACAAAGTTCTGAGTGCTCGACGAACTGGGCAGAACCGGTAGCCCAGTAGCATCCGACGACCAGGACCCCTTCTTATTACGCCTATGTTTATGTGCTATCATAGCTTTATGAAACAGGGCCCTGAACCTTGCGGAAGGTAAGACGTTCACCGCGTTAGTGACACCAGGCAGCACGGGTGTGGTGCCGACAAACCAAGCGACAAAATCGATGCGACAATACATGTACTGCATTCGACCACATGACTTTAAACATTTGCTGTGGCTGAGATACGCCAATGTTAGTATGCATAAATTTCGAGAATATAGCAACCTCTTGGGTGCATCTGAGACGTTAGTTACATACAGGAATGACAAGCCATGTTGTTATTGAATCGATATTTGCAGGTATCTCAAGTTCACTTTGACATGCGTTTCTCTAATTCAGTAACAATATAGTAGCCTAAACGTTGTGCGCGTCTATTCTATTCCAGACCTAGCCCCCATTACCGTACTCAATTTGTAAGGGTTGAAGAGAAGCGACATATATGTTCCTGTGGTCTCGCGAGACGCCACTTCCGGTACTAAGCTGGTTCACGGCTAATTTTGCGCGCGCAAACTTGCGACATGCGAGACGGGGCCCAGCTTACTTCCTGCACTAGATTTCTGGTGACAAGCGTATATTCAAGAACTTGTTCTGGTTCGAAATTGTGCGACCGCCAAATATGACATGGCTGTCGCAGTAATAGCCGTAATAGTTGGCTAATTTAGAGATGGTAAGATCGGAAATTTGTTAATCCTGCCAGAATTATCGGTTCCTTACTGTCAACTGACAACCATGAGACCATTCGAAAAGGTATGGAACGTTGTTTGTCACCGGAAGTACTAAGATCACGCGAAGTGCCGTGACCTACTTACAGACCCTACTGATCTGGTCAACATGGACGTACGGCAATATATTGTACCTATAAGGTTTTTTTACACAAAGGCAAAAATAAATATATGGCGAACATCCTCATTCAGGTGGGCTCTTTTCCATTCTTCACTCAACCATTATTTTACCCACACCTTAAATCTATTAAAGTTTATTCCCAAATATAACATTTGTTACATTTGACCGCTTTCTAAATGGCATTGTGTATTCATATTACATTGGAACTGAATTTAAGATACCCGCAAATAACAATAAATATCAATGGTTTACCCGAACACGAATCATTTCATGAGCATAGTTTCAATGACCGACGCAATGTGTGACCATGACGTCATTCAGGCAACGTCAAACATTGTGATGTAACACTTTGACGTGTATTATACGGGCGCTAAAACCTGAGTAGTAGGCTGTCTGTTGTTGAGAAACAGTATAGGAATACCTGTGTTCTGTCTGCAAACAGATTTAAAAGAATCTTGGGCTTCGAATCCCTCTAACAAAGCCCTCCACAAGTATATTGCCTCAATAAGTTTGGTTCATATGACTCCGAAAATCTGAACCCATAAACTTTCATCTTATGCATCTTAACGTTATAAGGGCGGTGGGGCAGCCTAGTGGTAAGGCGTACGCTCGTCACGACAAGGAGACCCGGGTTCGATTCCCCACATGGGTACAATGTGTGAAGCCCATTTCTGGTGTTCCCCCGCCGTGATATTGCTGGAATATTGCTAAAAGCGGCGTATACCCAACTCACACTCACTCACTCAACGTTATAAAATGATGGCATAGCTATTACTTACATGTAATAAAATGCGTATGAAATTTGTTTTCCTCATATAATTGAAGATTGAAAACAATGTATTGTTAAATGTGACCTATGTCTTTTTAACGATCACTCGTCCCTGCCTCAGCCACATATTTATTGATTTTCAAACACAAGTAGTCAAGGATACCAAGCGTCAATTGTGTATGATCAGAGACCATATAATCTATTATATGGTCTCTGGTATCATGCGATGTTTAAATAAGAAATCAGATGATTTGAACTAAGTTGTTCTTTTAAAACAAATAGACAATGGAGCACATTTTTTTATACAATATCGGTAACTATCGATATTTTTAAATGAAAATCAAACATTGGATATAAAACAGATGAAGTGTAGTTTTTTTGCTTCTCAGTATAAATTGGGTATTATTTTATTTTAAAATCTAATAAATGTATTAATATTACTTGTATTTCTCTTTGAAATTTAAATATGAAAGGTATAACTTATGAAATAGCTATTCAACACAATTTGTATTATGCGGTACATTTGTAGCTTTGTTAAACAATGAAGCAATCTCATGACATTGTAACGGACTCGCTCATGGGCAAACGAGGTTAGTTCTAGAGTTAAAAGACTTGATCCGTTCACGTCACATTGCCCTTCTTTGTGACGGACTTGATACGATTTATTAACTTGGGTCCTACACCCGTACACCCGTGTATAATTGTGACACTACACCATTTAAGAAACACCAAAATAACATATACCCAGGGATATGTGATTATGCATACACCCACGTATCTGTACTAATAGCATACACCCACGCCCTGTGAATATAGCAGACACGTACCGGTGATAACAGCAAACAACTGCGCACGTGTGATAACAGATAATCACGCACGTGTGATATTGATGTAGGAAGATGGTATAACACTCCTGTAGTGATCGTGTTTGTAAATTATGTGAAATGAACGATGTCAGTGATAAAGACCATAATTCCATTACTTGTACATATTTTAACCATGCTCGAAAATTGTATATCTCATGTTAATAATATAGGAATCAACCGAATATTCGAAAGTTCATGAAACTCTTTAACTTTTCAAGAATGTCTGTCTACTCCAAACTTTGTAAATATACTGATATTATGATGACAGTTGTTAAAGCTACGATAATAACATCCCCCTTTTTCCCAGTGATAATAACATAGACCCTTCCCAATGATAATAACATATACCCTTCCCATTAATAATAACATATACCCTTCACAATGATAATGGCATATACCCTTCCCATCGATAATAAAATATACCCTCCCCAATGATAACATATACCCTTCCCAATGATAATGACATATGCCCTTCCCAATGATAATAACATATACCCTTCCTAATGATAATAAAATATACCCTTCTCATCGATAATAACATATACCTTCCCAATGATAATAACATATACCCTTCCCATCGATAATAACATATACCCTTCCCATTGATAATAACATATACCCTTCCCAGTGATAATGACATATGCCCTTCCAAATGATAATAACATATACCCTTCCAAATGATAATAACATATACCCTTCCCATCGATAATAACATATTCCCTTCCCAATGATAATGACATATGCCCTTACCAATGGTAATAACATATACCCTTCCCATCGATAATAACATAGACCCTTCCCATTGATAATAACATATACCCTTCCCAGTGATAATGACATATGCCCTTCCAAATGATAATAACATATACCCTTCCAAATGATAATAACATATACCCTTCCCATCGATAATAACATATTCCCTTCCCAATGATAATGACATATGCCCTTACCAATGGTAATAACATATACCCTTCCTATCGATAATAACATAGATCCTTCCCAATGATAATAACATATACCCTTCCCATCGATAATAACATAGACCCTTCCCAATGATAATAGCATACCCCTTATCCCTTTGATATAAACATGCTTCCCTTTCCACTATCACAATGACCTACTCCCTCTCTTCTGACAACCGCCTCCGTGGTGTAGTTGTTAGAGCGTCCGCGGAAGGTCGCGGGTTCGATCCCCGACCGCGTCATACCAAAAAGACGTTGAAATGTGGTACTTGTTGGTCCCTACCTAGCGCTCGGCATTAATGGGTACAACAAGGACTGGTCGGCTCGGAGTCCGTATAATGTTTCTGAGTGGGGTATTCATGCTTCACTGCGGCATGGTATCTCAGTGGGCTAGCACTATAAAACCAGCTTCAGTCTGGGCTAGTACAAGCAGCCGCACATACACATACACACGCATGCACGTCGTCATATGAGCGAAATATTCTCAAGCACGACGTTAAACCCAATTTCACCTCACCTCACCTCTCCTGACATGCACCATAGCAGTACAACTAATCAACACTGTTCTCGACATCGCTCTTGCCGTCGGTATTAATAATGTATAACTCAGGTCTTTGGTATGCCATATTAGCGATACTGACAGCCATTGCTTACTGGATTTCACATGACGATTCTCGCAACATGCCTACATACATTGTGTGTAAGTACATACATTTTGTTTCGTGTGTGTTTACTTCAAGGACTAGAAAATTACAGGTTCAATTCATCATTATATCAAAGGACAGCTTGAACACATGTGTGCAATGAGACGTGGACGAGAATATTCACATTTGAGGTATAGTCATATTGACGCATTATAATTTCAACCTGAATGCCGGAAACTGGAGAAATTGTTACGCTTAAATATGTTAGATACTTACTGACCGCCATGGTGGACACAACTGTTGATCAGCCCGTTCCTACTTAGCTTCCATCTTGTTTCCCGTGGTTACCGAAACAGAGTAGCTTATATCCACCGCCTGCACACGATTAGTGTCGAGTAATCCGATATGAGCGTTATGTAGTTACGGGGTTGCACAGAGGCAAGGGCGTCTAAAAGGTTTAACCACACTATGCCTTCACCCTGAATGTTGTCATAGAAGGTTAAAAGTCGGTGATCTGTTTCTCGACCTTTTTGTGTCAAAATTAGAATGAATGAATGAATATTGCTTTACGCCGCAACAGCAATATTACAACGCGGAGAGTCATAAAGGAGAGTGAGTATGGTTTTATGCCGCTTTAAGCAATATTCCAGCAATATCTCGGCGGGCGACACCACAATTGGTTTCACAAATTATACCCATTTGGGGAATCGAACCATTCGGATATCCCACCACCCTGAATCATTAAGGAAACTTTTTCTCAGTTAAGTACATGTTTATTACACCTGACATATCAATGGCATTGTTCTGTATATCTTCCAAATGCACTTAGATGATTAAGTATATAAGATAGGTTTTTTGTTTGGTTTGTTGTTTAACGCCGCACTCAGCAATTTTCCAGCTATATTGCGGCGGTCTGTAAATAATCAAGTCTGGCCATACAATCCAGTGATCGACATCATGAGCATCGATCTACGCAATTGGGCTACGTTGACATGTGTAAACCCAGTCATCGAGTCTGACCACCCGATCCCGTTAGTCGCCTCTTACGACAAGCATGGGTTGCTGAAGACCAATTCTAACTAGGATCTTCACGGATGAGCATATAAGGGGAAGATATCGTGTTGTAGTGTGTAGAAAATGATTGCACATTGCCACGATGGTAGCACAATTTCTAAAATTGATGTTGTGGCAGAGAGACACCAATAATGAAGATGTAGTTCCCCATTTCGTGGAATTGGAGTTGTGGTATACAATGTATGAAAGTTAAAGATCTAAGTTAATTCTGCATGTGAAATATATCATAAATACAATACAAAAAATACCTAGTAGCCCTACTGTGTGGCCTAAAGCACGGCTGACTGCCTTTGTACTTTGAACAAATAGGCACAGTGAGGTGATACCGCTTATAACACCATGGCTGAGAGTAAACAGTGGGGATACAGTTCCTCACAGTGAGTGAGTTTGGTTTTACGCCGCTTTTTGCAATATTCCAGCAACACCAGAAATGGGATCCATAGATTGTAATAATAATAATAAGTGTTCTTGTATAGCGCACAAATCAAACTGCAAGGCAATTTCTCTAGGCGCTAAAAGATAGAGTGATCTGAAGAAAGGATTAAAGTTCATAAGCTTGTTTAAAAAGGAAAGTTTTCAGTTGGGACTGGAAAGATTCCACGGACGCGGCTTGTCGGATGTGAAGAGGCAGTGAGTTCCAGAAAAGGGGGAGCTGTGTAAGAGAACTGTCTATGTCCATATGACTTTAATCTGACCTTGGGGACATTCAACTGACAATTAGAACTTGATCTTAAAAGCCGTGGTGGGACATATTCACTGAGGAGATTGTACCCATGTGGGGAGTCGAACCCGGGTCTTCGGCGGGAGGGGCGAAAGCTTTAACCACTGGGTTACCCCACCGCCCCTGTTCCCCCTCAGACTTGACTAAAGAACTGTTTCGTTGATGCATAAGTTAAATCCGTCAACATGGAGTGTTGCATCCTGTTAACCAACTCACAAGATGATCATATTCTGTCTGTTGTATAGGGAACTGAATACAGATTGATTAAGCTACATCAAGAGCGCCCATTACTTGGGTATCGTTCGTTGGTTTACGTTGAATTTAATCAGGAAGTATTTGCAACGAGAGACCGAAAAGGATATTAACCAGGAGGTAATGTACATGAGGATCGGGTGGTCAAGATGAATGTCGACTATGGACAGTAATAAAGCCGGAAAACTACCACTTGACTACCTTAAAAGATCAAATATCAGGTACAACCAGAAAATCTGAATGTGTCATTGTGTTTCCATGGCACGATTGTAGTTTGTCAGGGTAAGATTTGGTATTTATTATGTACTGAATTATTTAGAGTGAACAGTGCTGTGGATTAGATGTAGCCAGTCTACACTAAGGCTGTGTATTGGAAAATAAGTTGTATTGCAATGTATTGCGATTCGGGTATTGCGGTACGTATTGCAATATATTGTGAAGTTGAGTGTTTGAGAGTGAGTGACAATCTCAAAATTGCTTAGCCAGGGATTCTATTTTCTTTTTTATAAAATGTATAATATTACGGTATACCGTCATGTCATTGCATAACGAAGGAAAACATTTGTTGTGAATGAAAGTCTGTATAGATATTAATTTATACCATAAAGATAATCACAAAACACGTGATATATGTTCTTTACCCAATATTCCTGTTCTCAGAAAAAAACATCGCAATACGTATCGTTTGAAAAGCGTATTGCGATATACCGGTAATACCGTGCAGTCCTAGTCTACACTCATTTTTTCAGGCGATATAGCGATGGCGAATCAGCTACCATACATTACACTATGTGTTTTGGGGTTACTACGTTCAGTAAGCCCTCAGCCACGTCTGAACATATCAAGTTTGCCTCGTCATTTAATGAGATAGTCGGACAAAAAATCCCGATAAATAGTGAAGCTGCTAAGATAAAGTTTCCATTGTAATTGTGCATTTAATGACAAAAGCACAAATATTGGTCATTATTTTCAAGAACATTTCTGGAATAATTTCAGAAATGGAGGTACATGATTTTTTTTTTGTCCCTGTGCGCATGTGCAGTAGACAAAATTGCCGTTCGGGTTTCAGTGTTACCTCCCACATAGTCAGCATAGCTAATCATTACAAACCAATAGTTTCGTAATTGATGATTTGCAGGTACAGGAAAAGAGAAGAAATAGTTAATTTACATTAAGATTTAACATCCGCAAAATATAAATGCTCCCTCCATCCAAAATGGCAGGTAGCAGAGAGCTTTTCGAATATGGAGCTACATGACAATAGATAAGAATGTTATGGTTTCATCTGATCAATACTGACTGAAAATGCTTATTCTATTTGGCAAAATAACCCCAGCCAATAATTCATAGGTTAAAGTTTCGGATATTTTTAATAATAAAATCTTTAAGTCATTAGACTCAAGGGCAAATGTGGCAGATAATACAGATTTGTCTTTCGCAAGGGAGCAGTCATTATTTAATCATTATTTTATTCCAGTAAACATCACTAAATCGCACTTTTACTGTTTAATGTTTTAAAAACCAATTACATTATAGTAATTCAGTGAAATTGTGCCTAATTAGATTTTACAAATGTAAAATAAATTATTTTCTATAGGATTCTTTTATACCATTTCAGCATAATTAAGTTGTGAGGTTTTGGTTTCCAGAAAGTTGATGATAATACACTAAGTTTATGTTCATAAAATATTTTATTAGAAATTGAAAACTCATGGTGACACAATAATCTTCTTCGCTTACAGGCCCCGTGGCAGTTATACTACAAATGACAAATTACAATATTGAATTTAGACTTCATGCTCAAGGCCATACTGAAATATATCCATGAGCATTAATCATCCAATAACCCACTTTTTGAAGATGCGTACGAAAACACATGTTGGTGCAAATTCTTTCAAAACCAAAATTGCACGGATTTACATGGTAACTGCAACACATTTTACTTTGATTCCAACAAAAACAAAACTGAATTGAACCATGGTAACTCATTACTGCAATCTGAGAAGAATACACAAAAACGTGAACATCAACAATGCTGGAAAGTATGGTCACCATGACAACCCCAGAAATCTGATTGTCGCACGTTTTTAAAAAAATGGTTGTTTTGGTGGTATGAACCACCAAAGCATGAGGTTTAGCACCCCTCGGACATCATACTGGCAATCAAGAATCATATTATTACAGGGGCGGCGGGGTAGCAGGGTCACTCTCACTTAGCCAGAGTCTACCCAAAAGGTCTTGTTAAGACAACATTGCACTATGGCCAGGTGAGAGATGGGAGTCAGGTAATTAGCAAGAGCCACTGAAGCATGAGCTTTTGTTTTAAGGCTATAGTCTATATCTACAATTCGACAAGATTGAAGATGGAAGCGGTTACTCTTAGAAATGAACTGGTGTAATGAGTTAAGAATGTTACTATTAGTTGGTTTAAACATATTTATTTCATGAAAAAACTACAACGAAATTTTCATGAACTGGATTGGTCAACAAGCTCACAAGAACTTATATGAAGACCCCTCCAATATACATCGATATATGAAACAGTATTATGACAAGAAAATATGATATCTTCACGTCGTGGACTCTTGTTCGATTCCCCATTTCTGTGTCCCACGCCGTGATTTTGCTAGAATATTGCTGAAAGTGGCGTAAAACCATACTCACTCACTATTATTAGCATCTGATTCCTCTGCCATTCCCGATACAGCGTATGCCTAAATTCTTCACTTTGAACAGGATAAGGTCCAGGTAGAACTTGGCGTCTAACATAGTCCGAAATATGTTCAATAGTGTTTATATGGGGGCTCCTTGCGGGCCATGGTAATGTTTCGATGGAATTGTTCTCTACAAAGGGTGATGAGACGGCCTGGCATTGTCATCCATGAATATCTGACGATTGGCAAAGTTAATAAAACCTGGCCGTATCCAGTACTTCCTGTCGAAAACGTTGACCTTTGTGTTTCCCAGGTACTGAGATCCAACTGGCAGTGAACCCACCAAGACCTTTCCGGAGAATATGAAGGCTCCCCAACACTGCAGCCTTCTGCATTACCCAGATTGTCAGAAGGGCTGTGATCCCGGTGGAGAACCCGGGCACTCTCCTGATCTGCGCCAAGAGATCAGGAGGTACCAAACCAAGGGCACCGAGAACAATGAGGAGCCTGATACTTGGGATGCAAGCGAGACATTTCTAAGGCGAGGTCCGCATATTTATCATGCCTGAATCTTGTTAATCACATTGCTGCCAAAAGGGACAGAAAATTCAATGATATAAATAATTCATTGGCTTTATAAAAAAGGACAAGGTCAGGTTTGTTTGCAGGAATTCTTCTGAGGCTGTATACGGACCTATTCCAGAGAAGTTTGAAAGTATCATTTTCTATGACGCCCTGGACATGTTCAGGGTCGTACCATGGATGGACCTCGGAGTCAAAGCCACAGACATGGCGGAGACGGTAGTAAAAGCAACGAGCCATGCCACCATATCGTTTAAGATATACTGTTTGTGGCAAAGAATGGCATCCACTGACAAGATGTTGTCAGTTGACAGTCTCTGTAAATTCATTACATAGTCGACATTTCATATTGATATTTTCTTTAAGAATCACATTTTGGCGATTACGGGGGGGAAGTGACTGGTCCTGAGCAGCAAAAAGGAAGCCCTCAGTTTCACATTTGAGACCAGCCGACTTCATCCAGGCGAAGGAGTTGGTGGGATTGCTATTCTGTTCCACACACTGCATGTACACACGATGCAATGGCTTCTCAGAAAGCTTTTCCACAAAAGACCGACTCTGGGCAGACTTGGTGAAGGACTCCACCTGGTTTACTCCCATCGCTGTACCGTCCAGCAGTACATCGCCATCAGCAAAATCAACCTCAAATTTCAGATTCTGTCCAACAACCTTGGCAAGCTTAAAATAGCTGTGGAATTCTTTGCTTTCATCATGAGTCTTGACATGCATCACCAGAGGATCATCCGATAAATAAATATGTGCAAAAGTACACAATAAAATTCTATCATGAAGAGCCTCCACATTAATAAAACCCCGACCTCCAGAGTTGATTGGCATGTATAAATGGTTGAGAGAGGAACGAGGGTGGTGGGCTCTGTTATCAGACATGATCCTTCTGGTCAGGCGGTCAAGACTCTGGATGTCTTGTTTTGTCCAATCAACTACTCCAAAGGAATAGGAAAGGTCTGGCACAGCAAAAGTATTGGTGTCTTTGACCTTGTTTCGAGCATTTAGCTCTGAGCTCCAGGTTTTCTTTAAGCGAGATTTGTACTCGGCCCGAAGTTTGTCTTGAATTTGGGGTTCTTGAGCTTTTATTATTATTATACGATAATTATATAGCCCACATATCCAGGCAACTAGTGCTTACTCAAGGCGCTGGTATTTTTTCCCTCGATCATTGGATGTCAATCTCAATGGCACATTGTGTTATCAATCACAACTCCCTGGGGAGTATACAACTCTTGCAGCCACCAGGCGCAACGAGTTATTGTGGCTTTCTCATCCAGGGGCGTAGCTACCATTATAGAAAAAAGCCCGGGCTTACAAATGATGTTTGCTAAAAAAAATAGTTTCTAATTCTTGCCAAAAATACCTACAAATACGTTATCAGAACAATTTTATAGTGGAAATGCCTCTATGAATCATTTTGACTACAATATTCTTTGATAACAAAGCATTACCAATACAGTCACCATGCATGTACAGAAAACATGTTATTCATCGTATCGTAAGTATGAAAGGTGTCTTTCTTTCAGTGATGATTGTTTTTCCATCTACATGTATGTGAATATTTTGTTTAAGTCATGATTATATGTGAATCATAATTGAAATGCAGGTATTTACAATCGCCCTGCAACGAAAACTTATGCATTACTTCCTTCTGTAGTCGTTCTGCGGGCTTTTAGGTGCAACCTATCGGGCTTACACGAAAAAAACTGGCTTGCTACGTGCCTGTCATCCTAACGAGGTACTCATTCACAGCTGGGTGGACTGGGACACATAGTACTGTCACAGTACTTTGTCCAAGTTCACTGCACGTTGCTGTACCCGCAACTAGGTGTTTGCACGTATTCATGTGGCCACCATCTGGTCATATACCAACGGATTCGTAGGTTCTTTTAAGTGCACGGGGTTGTGTCAGTACACTAGGGGTTGTGACAACACTGAAAGAGTCTGCACACACAGTTGACACCAAGGTGTTTACACCCGGTCACAGGTGGGCTCGATCTCGACACCTCAACCTCGCTGGATCACTAGCCTGGCGCCTTAGCCAGCTCGCCCACCGCGCCCGAGGATACGACCTCTCTTATACGTGACAACGGCCGCGGGTAACGTGTAGAAGAAAGCGACTGTCATGAGACCAATGAACCTTACACCATTTCCTCAAGTTGCAGTTCGTGGCGTTTGCACCACACCAGACGCTTCTACCTGTTCCTATCTGTAAGGAAGGAAGTCTGATCGGACAAAGTACCCTCAGATGTCGCAACCTCTTTCTGATGGTAATGTTGGAGAGTCTGAAAGTCCCCCCGCTCCCAATTGCAGTTCTTTGGCAAGGTTTATCACACTGATGTCTAACCAGAAAAATTTGGACCCAATCATCATGGTCATTGGTGTTTCTCAGTCTGGCAGGACTTGGAAGACGCTGTACTTACCCGGTGGCTACGTGGTTCCTCGTATGCCACAAGATTCCTCTTAAGCAGACCAATAGACATAATTATGGTTAATGTACAAGTGTGCATCGTGCATCGTGCAAGCCAACAGTTTGTCATCATGTATTTTCTGAACGTTAAAGTTACTTTTAGTACTGCCGTCTTTTAAATCATTTTAGGAAATTGTAGCGCACATATGTAGCTGCAATTTTGAAATTTATACTCCACTTCTCGGGACCATCACGTCAAATGAAAATGGGACCAATGATAGGAAAAGAGCAGTTTGAGACTTTCACAAAGGAAATCATAATGCCGAGTAACAGGATGTGTCTTTTACCTATTATTTTAACATATAACAACAAACAAAACATTCTGCGCATGCGCAACTGAAATTGCCTCCATATCTGTAAATTAATGTTCATTATGCATCAGTCAATAAATGTGCAAACCTTTATGCTTTTATCACTAAATGCTCAATTTAGCCGCTTCACTAAAATGCTTTGCTTGCATTCAGAGAGAGATTTGGAGCCGACTATAACTGTGGCATATGACTATGGTCGTCATGACCTCTGGATATATCGCCCTGGTAGACTTATAACTGTGATAGCCATATGTTGGATATTTGTGATCAGAATTACAACATTCAAGATCTCAGGTATTGTTTTGTGGTTGGCATGCCGAAACATTTTTCAACTTTGTTAACATTATAAGTTGTTTATTGATCCCTCGGGGCCCATGGGTTGATGTATATTTGTATATGTTCCCTGAGCCCTCTCTTCGGGCACCGAGGGACCAATGAACAACGTATTTATCTTACTGTACTGTTTGAAACACGGGTATCGGATTATAATAAGGAGTATCAGAATATTGGCAATTAGCCAATACCGACAATGATAGACAAGAAAAACAAATTTAGTGTTATCTCCCTTCCATTGATTTGCATTCGCAAAACATCGGTAATTTCCGTACATCATATGTGACTTAATTACTCGAGATAAAGACTTACTAACACGAAGCACCACGAATTCAGGATGCATCCAGGGTATAGTGGAGAGTGATCGTAACGTATACCCTGGAGATTATCGAGGATGGTAAGCAGGGTACATTGAAAATAATAGAAGAGCGCTCAGACAATCAGAAAACGACAGTAATGTGTGATAACTATGATAGGTCTGAGGGAGTAACACAGAGCCAACATCAAACACCAAGTGAAAGAAATTCAAGAATTTGGCAGAATTTCTGCCATCCAGAAATAGAATATTGAAAGCGATCAATTCGGCGCCACTTAAATATTTGCAGATTGGCGGCTCATAAAGCATTGGCAAAAATATTTCATTCCTACGATGTGGGCAAACTACACTCAGGGTCATTACAAGATATTCCAAAATACTGGACAATGAAATGTAAAATAATGTGATAACACCAAGAGAAGGTGCTAACGTTGAATTAACGAAAATCATCTCCATGATTATACGTTTAGACAAACAAATGCAACGAAAACTATTAAATAACAACTTTTATTGACAAAATGCTGAAAATGCATCAACTAAAAGTGGCGAAATCATTTTAGGTTCATTCGTTCAAACATCCAACTATCATACTGTAGATCTGTTGATTTAGATAAAGGGAACACATGTATTCGTCCACCTGTTGTTACACAGTGATGATAAATAAAGCAAACAGGCCCAAAAGCGTGACTCTGCTGGTATTTTACGACGCTTCGGTCAACAAAGAATCTCCAGCTCAACACTCATTCGCGGCTGAATATCCCGTTACTTGACCTCCCCCCACGCCTCTAACAGGGACCACTACATCAACTTGCACCCCATGCAGCACTGCTGTGGGTAGTCAGGGGCGTACACGCTGCGGGAGTTACCGTACACCCACAACCGGTAGGGCAGTTCCCGCCACGTGTAATGGACTTCTGTCACCGGTATCACCCACATGCTCTGGACCTGAAAACATGAACTGAATGTATTTTGACTTTTAGACTCGTGGCAGTTAGAAGGCCTGCAAGTTTCGAGTAGATCACACAAGCAGCACTATATTCGTCTAAACACTCGAGAGCTGGTTATGATTGTGTATTACACAAAACGAGAGAATGATCGTATGTAAGAACTTTCCGAAATTTTTCTTCTTCTTCGTTTCTTCTTCTTCTAAAAATGCGTCACACATGCATGTGTTTGGAATAACCTCCTCAAAACTCGGAATTACTGATTATGTGGGATTATGTTGATTCTTGTGAATGAATGTTTTATGCCATTTGCTAAAGACTCGGAATTGAAACAGTTCATTCTCTCGCGACAGATGGTGGGTAAGTCCTCGGACCTCGTCCGTCATTCTCTATGGTTACAACAACTGACTGACTGAGTTTGGTTTTACGCCGCTTTTAGCAATATTCCAGCAACATCACGGCGGGGGACACCAGAAATGGGCTTCACACATTGTACCCATGTGTGGATTCGAACCCGGGTCTTCGGCGTGACGAGCCAACGCTTTAACCACTAGGCTACCCCACCGCCCCTGGTTACAACAAACTCAAAGGGGCTACTAATAATAGTTCGTTATAACCGTAGTTCATTATACCCACTTCGACTACAATATATAGCAAGGTCCCGGGACAAAAACAAAACAACAGTTCGTAATATCCGTTAGTTCGTTATAAGTGTGTTCGTAATAAACGTAATTTACTGTAGTTTCTATATCTCACCTGAACGGCTGCTTTTGATTTTCCCATTCCGAGTCAAATCTCTTATATTTTTCAGACAAAGACAACGTATAGCTTTCCCACAACGCACCACCAGATCTACAATGTTTGTGGGTTTGATTGTTTAATGTTATACTGTAAACAAACGGGTCTGTGCAAACAAGTGAGTGATATTTTGACTTGGTACCCACCTGTTTGAGTATTTTCCCACCAGGAAAGGCGTTGTTGTGTTTGTTAACCAGCGACATGGACGCATTGTTCATAGCTTCCACGGAGTACGTCGTGATTGGGGCGACCTGCAACACATACAATTATCATATCAGGCAAACATTACCACTAAGTCACTGTCCGAGAAGTGGCAGAAAACCATTTCGACTCCAGGTCTAGGTCCTCTTGCACAAACTAATCTTAGTACTAAGATCATTGTAAACCTATGTTAATGTCTGGGAGTTATAGTAGCGATTAGATCCCTTTCTACTTATGTTTATTAGTTGTGTAACGCCGAATTCAGCAATATTCCAACTTTTTGGCGGCGGTCTGCGAGCAGTCGAGTCTCGGCCAGACAATCCAGTGATCAACAGCATGAGCATCGATGTACGCAATTGGGATACGATAACATGTGTCAACCACTGAATCCATGACTACCCGATCTCGAACTTTAGTTGCCTCTTACGACAAACGTGGGTTGCTGAAGTTCTTCACGGGAACTGTTTCTGCAAGAGGTCCTAGGTCTGCAATATATGACTGCAAAAGCCTAGATTTATATTTTTAATCCATGACTACCCGATCTCGAACTTTAGTCGCCTCTTACGACATACGTGGGTTGCTGAAGTTCTTCACGGGAACTGTTTCTGCAAGAGGTCCTAGGTCTGCAATATATGACTGCAAAAGCCTAGATTTTTATTTTTAAAAATGATTGTCCAAACAGTGATTCGAACCCCTGTGATTCCAGTTTAGTGGATGATGCTTACCGGGTAGTCTTCCTGGACGAAGACCTCAGAGCCTTCCATGAGATATATGTCGTCGTCAGAGATCGGGGTGGGGTTGTCCATGAAGGAGTCACGCTCGCACCGACTGCAATAATAGATTCTCATTGTCATTTTCTAAATCTCCAGTGCTCCAGTCCTGAGCTCCCAACAGAATGGTCCTTTGTCCCAAACTGACATTCCCTCACTAGCCACTCCAACTGCCACATGGCATTAACAAGCCGTAAGTCGTGGCAGGATGTGCGGTTCATACCCGTTTCATATTACTGGAAAAAACGATCAAATGTAAAACAATCACGCTTCCTAAACCAACATTCATATGCTCCTTGCAGTGTATCGAGATGCACGTGCACAGACGTGTTGCACGTGACCATGCTGAAACCACCGACGTCACGAAACGAAGCACATGCATATGTGTTCAATTCACTAGTTAATGTGTTAAGTATACAGTGTATATTCTGATTTATTTTGGCTGGTAGTTACAGTATGAGTGAGTGAGTGAGTTTAGGTTTACGCCGCACATATGACCGATATGTTGTGCTCCAAGCCCTTCGGAACCGATTCACAACTGCCAATGCTCAGTTGCCACAAGCTGCATGGGACGTCTGCCTTGTACATGCACTAGGCTGTTGTGTTTGGGCGTCGGAATCAAACATGGTGCTGGTGTGTTTCAGCACCCTTGTTTTCGCTGTTTTTGACAATGTTTCATTTCACTTAAACTCAGTTTCTTCTAATATGTCTTTTAAAGTGCCCATCAAGCACACAAAAAGTTGCATTTACCTTGGGGTATAAATGGCCTCACCGTGTATAAGTTTATATATGACTATCAAATTTTAGGGTGTTCACATACATTTTGTTTGTAGTATATAATGGCCGTTTGCAGCTTCTTCATATAAAGTAGCCATTTGTTACGTCTTTACACAATGACCTTTCGTAACATCCTTATGAAATGACCTTTCGTTAAATGACCTTTATCAATATCATTATGCAATACCTCTATGCCTTTCATTATTTTTAACTCCTATGAAATCAAACTCACATATATTCCTAAAATGAAAGCCTCCCCTTGTCACCATACATCTTCTTATTATGTGCAGAAATATTATCAGCTCTTATCAAAATAAATGAAACTATCAAGGGTATAATGGTGAACAATATGGATTACCTGATTGCTCAATATGCAGATGACACTGAATTTATTCTGGATGGTTCAAAGAAATCTTTTGAAGGGGTCATTGACACATTGGATCTATATGCACAAATTTCTGGACTTAAGATTAATTATGATAAATCAGAAGTTGTGTGGATAGGAAGTTGTAGAAATAGTAATGTTAAATTCAGAGGAAATTGTTGCAGTTTTGGAAGTTTATTTTCCCATTTTGGTGATCTTTTATCTGTTATGGTGTATATGAGTTCAGTTTTGAGGATTTGTTCACCGTTTGTATGGTAGGCCTGATATGTATAGAAGCTATATCGAGCAACTCACTAATTGACTCTTAGTTCCACAAATGTTCTGACCGCTCTGTGACCCCTGCATGTGCGGCACGTTTCTTGACCACTCCCGTAGCACACCTTGCATCTGTAACAGTGAACGAGTTACGTCATCACGACGACCTACCTCAGTAGACACTACGTCCGAGTGACTCACGTCAACACGACTACCTACCTCAGCAGACACTACGTCCGAGTGACTCACGTCAACACGACTACCTACCTCAGTATACACTTACGTCCGAGTGACTCACGTCATCACGACTACCTACCTCTGTATACACTTACGTCCGAGTGACTCACGTCAACACGACTACCTACCTCTGTATACACTTACGTCTGACTGACTCACGTCATCACGACTACCTACCTCAGTATACACTAACGTCCGACTGACTCGCGTCATCACGACTACCTACCTCTGTATACACTTACGTCCGAGTGACTCACGTCATCACGACTACCTACCTCAGTATACACTTACGTCCGAGTGACTCACGTCATCACGACTACCTACCTCAGTATACACTTACGTCCGACTGACTCACGTCATCACGACTACCTACCTCAGTATACACTTACGTCCGACTGACTCACGTCATCACGACGACCTACCTCAGTATACACTTACGTCCGAGTGACTCACGTCATCACGACTACCTACCTCTGTATACACTTACGTCCGAGTGACTTACGTCATCACGACGACCTACCTCAGTATACACTTACGTCCGACTGACTCACGTCAACACGACTACCTACCTCAGTATACACTTACGTCCGAGTGACTCACGTCATCACGACTACCTACCTCTGTATACACTTACGTCCGAGTGACTCACGTCAACACGACTACCTACCTCAGTATACACTTACGTCCGAGTGACTCACGTCAACACGACTACCTACCTCAGTATACACTTACGTCCGAGTGACTCACGTCATCACGACTACCTACCTCTGTATACACTTACGTCCGAGTGACTCACGTCAACACGACTACCTACCTCTGTATACACTTACGTCTGACTGACTCACGTCATCACGACTACCTACCTCAGTATACACTAACGTCCGACTGACTCGCGTCATCACGACTACCTACCTCTGTAGACACTTACGTCCGAGTGACTCACGTCATCACGACTACCTACCTCAGTATACACTTACGTCCGACTGACTCACGTCATCACGACTACCTACCTCAGTATACACTTACGTCCGACTGACTCACGTCATCACGACTACCTACCTCAGTATACACTTACGTCCGACTGACTCACGTCATCACGACGACCTACCTCAGTATACACTTACGTCCGAGTGACTCACGTCATCACGACTACCTACCTCTGTATACACTTACGTCCGAGTGACTTACGTCATCACGACGACCTACCTCAGTATACACTTACGTCCGACTGACTCACGTCAACACGACTACCTACCTCAGTAGACACTTACATCCGAGTGACTCACGTCAACACGACTACCTACCTCAGACTACACTTACGTCCGACTGACTCACGTCAACACGACTACCTACCTCAGTATACACTTACTTCCGAGTGACTCACGTCATCACGACGACCTACCTCGGATTACACTTACGTCCGAGTGACTCACGTCATATCGACTACCTACCTCAGTATACACTTGCTCCCACACGACTCGCACGCCGTTTCAGCCATCTCCTCCTCCTCGCCATATTCTAGTTCCTTCAACGTCACCCCGAGCCCTCCGCAGCTCTTGCAACGCCTATAGCCCGACCCCTCACACACGGAGCACGGCACGGACCCCCGGGCTGCACACACGTCACACGCCTGTAAACACATACAGACCTCACACGATCCCGGAAACAACTCACAGCGCTTAATATATATAAATCATAAACTGAGGACTATTAAACTACAATTAAGATTTGTCACAAAGGATACAAACATGAACGTGTGGGGTGTGAAAACAAAGACCGAGCGGCTACACTATACATGGAATCCGTGGACTAAACTACAGTCCAAAGGCCGCAATGAGACGAACAAGCACTCTGAAAAAACGTTAATAACATTAAATTCGTGCGATTTGTGAGTCTTTTGTGAGATTTTTCAACTAATTTGCGGTGTATATCCAACATCAGGGCGGAGGACACCAGAAATAAGACATCTCTTTCAAGAGACATTTTTCTAACAATCACCTTGTCTGAGCAGCACACAGAGCATACTACTGTGTGAATAGATGCGCTATAAAAATGCACATATTATCATTATTATTGTATCCATGTGGGGACTCAAACCCGGGTCGTCCGCTTGACGAGTGTACGCTTTAACCAATAGGCTACCCCATCGCCCCTAGCAGAATCTGTAAGTCAAAGAGAATACGTTCCCCCATGAAGTCATAATAAAATAGTTGTTGAAATCACATTACTTTGTACGACTCCGACAACAACACAAGGATGTGTGTATGAAAGTAATGATACCATTGATTCATTTATTACTGGTAAAAGTCTCATTCATTCATTCATTCATTCATTCATTACTGATAAAAGTCATATTCATTCATCACTGGTAAAATGTCATTCATCCGTTCATTCATGCATTTTAAGCGAAATTGGCTGCTTTTAAGCAGTAACGGTATGGGCAATATGGACGCGTTTCTGAGTGAGCAAGTGAGTGAGTGAGTGAGTATGATTTTACGCCGCTTTTAGTAATAATCCAGCAATATCACGGCAGGGGACAGCAGAAATGGGCTTCACACATTGTACCCATGTGGGGAATCGAAGCCTGGTCTTCAGCGTGACCATTAGACTACCCCCACCGCCCCGAACACGTTTCTGAAGACCACAGGCAAGCGTGCCAAGTCAACGCCGTGTTCAACTACCCCAGAGTTCGACCTGACTGTGTGTCAGTTAGATTTGTTTGACAGGTAACTCGTTCACAGTTACAGATGCAAGGTGTGCTACGGGAGTTGTCAAGAAACCTGCCGCACCTGCCAAGTCGAAACATTGATTACACAACGTTTCCTGTTGACTGGGTCCCGTCCTATTGCGCAACTTAGTACAATAACCAGTACAGAATTTTGAGACCAATTCATTTAACTGGATGCATAAATATCAATCAGTATTATTTGATACATCTAAGCACTTGTATATTACAACACTACACTCCTTCTAATCCTTGCAACCATGTCGTGCAGTGTGCTCTGTCGTACAGCTAGCACTGACAAACAGAAACCTGGAAATCGAGGAAATCTTAAAACGAGGCTCTGCCGATAGAAAAGTTTGGCGGTCTGGTACGGACTTAATATTATATCAATCACATTGTGCGTGAACTACACTGAACTGAATTAGCGCATAAAATACATAACAGATGTAACCAGTGAGCCAGATGCATTGTGAGCTCATCTGTGGCAGTCTGTGACGTCTTAGTTAAGGTCATGCTGCCTACACCTCGCCATAAAATATAGAAATACGATGTTATTAAAGTTTAAAATTGAAATGTAGGACCCAATGTCTGGCAACCTCAATGACACTTCACATGTGGAGTAGCACGTGACTTCTCAAAATATAAATTTAAGGCTAAATATCAACTATATTTGGTGTGGAGTTGAGTTATATAAATGATTTGTCAGCTTTCACTGTTTGCTTGAAAATGCCATATCTATATCAGATAAATACAGATTTCATCCCTTAACGATAGGCCATCATTTGTTGAAACATACGAGTTTATTTCCCTTCCATAGGATCTAATTTAACAAAAGGCATAGAGATATTGCAGAAGGTCATATTGCATAATGATATTGATAAAGGTCATTTCACGAAAGGTCATTTCAGTAGGATGTTACGAAAGGTCTTTTTATGAAGATATTACAAAGGTTATTGAATTATGCTATTACTAAATGTCATTTCACTAGGATATGCGAAATATCTTTGCATGAAGAAGTCACGAAAGGTTAGTGGGTAAAGAGTGAGTGAGTGAGTTTATTTTACACCGTTTTTAGCACCATTCCACCATTACCCTTTAGACTACCCCACCGCCCCGAACACGTTTCTGAAGACCACAGACAAGCGTGCCAAGTCAACGCCGTGTTAATTTTCCGATAGTTTATGCTATAGCTCACCTGTACTCTAGTGGTATGTGGCACCACATTCCTCAGCTCGTGCCTTGTGTTCAGGTATTTGGGGCTACAGAGAATCTCCCATGGGGAGGGGGGTTCCCCCTGGTTTGTCCCGTCCACAGGCCGTCTGTCCTTGTGGGGCACAAACCGCAGGCAAGTCGATCTGGTCTCGCCGAAAGTGGTAAGACTATACTGAAAGGTATTACACAGTTTCACGACTAACACCCGACCAGTAGTACACCTGGTAAATACAGGTCAGCAGGGATGCACGTCCATTGTTTAGCTCATGGGCGTAAAACCGATCTGATTTTGTTTTCTTTAGCCCATGGGCTTAAATGAGAAATCGATTTAGAGTGATCTAGCCATCTTTCGAAACACTGGAATGTGACGACATGCCATGAATATCTTGATCTTATTCAGATTCTCTGTGACAGGCTTCCATATTTATCAAAAAACGACATAGGTCAAAACGACATTGGTCTCCACCATTTACGTGGAACATAAGTGTTGTTCTACTTTTTGAATCTGAAAGCCCTGGTTAATTAAAAGAAAAAGTTGATATATATTAAAAATGAAATACAATAAGTCTACAGCCCGATCGTGGATATTGGATAAAATATTCGGGCAGAAGAGGTAACAAAAGACAACTTATCAGGCCCTGGGCTAAAATATATTAGCATAATGTGAAACAAAAATAGCCATAAAATCTTAGAATGGCCTTATATAGTACTGTGCTATGCTTACGTAGTGTACATGTTTAGGGTACAGAGCAGTGATGTCCATCTCTCTGGCCGGCTCCAAGCCGAAACAGCAGGTGCTGTTGACGTAGCTGATGATGGCGTCACGACAGTCTCTCTCAGTAAACAGGCTGGGGAGGCTGAGAAAAGAGGAAACATCAAAACATCAAATACATGCCGTCAGCAGCTTCCAATACAAGATAGCAGCAAACACAGTATAGAGGATACTAAACGATCTTTCGTGTAATACCATTTTTATTACACGAGTTAATGAATCAGTCACGAGTTTAATAAAAATGGTATTTCACGGAAGCGAGTTTAGTATTCGAGTCAAGCAAGGTCTAATATCCTTGTGGCAGAGGAATTAGCACTGTGACGTCATAAATGTAAATCATTATGACGTCAGACGTCCGGCATCACGCGAAATTCTTACATAATGTGTAATAACATTGTAGATTTATTAAACAGTGATATCTGCAACGGGTGAGTAATAAAAAAGAATATGGTAATCCTGAACTCGTTTCTGTACAATATCCTCGACCGTTTTCTGACAGGGTACCTCTTGGCCTTGTGGAACAAAGCATTCGCAGAACGCACTGCCTAAACTGGTACTAACACTCCCATTCTAAATTTACACTTTGAAGATAAGGATTAAATGTTGCCTTCAGCAACCCATGCTTGTCGTGAGAGGCGACTAACGGGATCGGGTGGTCAGGCTCGCTGACTTAGTCACCATATCAAGCACAGCAGTTGCACACCTCGAAAGTTTAAAAATTATTTCGAACCTACCCTTTTATGGACAATTCCGGGAATTTTCTTGCTCTTGGGATGTCACATGGTGGGTGTTTCTGAACGACTGCTGTGTAAAATAGAAAGAACAGACAAGATGTGAATTTTATAATTCAGAGTTGTTTAAAACCTTGTTTTTCAGCATCAACTTAACTCTAGACGCTATCAGAAAGAAAATAACCATTTGGTAAGACTGCACTGACAGTTAGCACTGACTTCAAGACTAGTGGCATCTACATCGACATTGTAGTCTGAATTTTGTCGTTCCATCTCGAGGTGCGACGACCTCATCAGTAACATCATGGAAGCCATTTTCCAACAAAGATGTTGTTGGTGACCCCCATTTCCTATCAGAGGAATCATCAAATGTCTAAGTTAGACTTCGTAATGGGCATCGTCTGTTTTGGGAAAGGCATGGACACTATAGACATGGACACGTGTATATTGCGGCTCACATTCACATGCAATGAAAAGGTTACTTGAAAATCGCACCCTCCTGAAACGGTACTTTCGGGTATCGTGTCCGCCTCGTTTTGGACTCAGTGGCCGCAGCTTCTGTAAATACTGAGAGCAGCCTATTGCTCCGACCAAGCGTTTAGAATGGGTGAGTGTGGTTCTAGGGTGTTTTGTGCAATATCTCAGCAATACCACAACGGGGATCGACAAGATACTGGAAAGTCTCTCCAGACTGACGTAAAACGTCACAGCTTCATTTCTCGACCAAATCTATCACACACAAAAACGAGACATCCCTTCATCTACAACTGATCGTAACGTAACGTAAGAGCACTTACGAATGTTAAATTCCGCATGTCTGTAACCAGGGATCTCCGGGACAATGGGGTGTCGTGGCTTGCGTTGTGGAACTGAAGATGATGCCATGTCCGCTCACAAAGAGTCTGAACACAAAGAGGAAGAAAATACAGGCGTCCGAAACGGTGGTACCTATGTCACAGATTGGTCATACGTTAGTCTCAGGTTTACAATGGCAAAAAGATGGTAAATATTAAATATTACAGATGGACAAGCATGTACTGACGGCTGTCGATATGACAATTGATATTGTTATGTACTTCTTAGAAAGAGTGAGTGTGGTTCTACGCTGCTTTTGGGGATATTCCTGCAATATCGCGACGGGGTTCACCACAAATGGGCTTCACACGTGGGGAAACGAAACTGGGTTTGTTGGCGTGACGATTGAACACTCTGACCACTAAGCTATCATTTCGCCCCTCTTAAAAGGGACAACCAGTGCGTGTGTGGACGTGGTTGTGTACAGGTACACATTTTCTATTCCCAAGATTTTATAATTACTACATGGAAACACTCTCAGCTGATAATCTCTACACCCGCAGTACAAACAATGAACACTGGCGAGACTTTAAGGTAAATTAATCGACACTGCCATCTATGTTTGGCTCGCTATAGGAGACAACACAACACTGGCAAGATCAAATTGTACGTCAAATACACGGGGAATTATTCATTTACGAAAATGTGATAGAACCCCACCTTTCATAACATTGACAAGACTTGGGAACAAGACATCTAGATCAGGTAAAAACCTTATCTTTGAAATTGTTTGCAATCTTTGACAGGAATACCAAAAAAATTAAAGCTATGACATTTATGAAATAGTAACTATGAAGGGATTACAGGGAATATATGGTTAATACATATCTAACTCAATACCAATGGTCCGAAGAATAAATAGAGGACGTTAGTATTTTTCTCGTAACATTTCATCTTTTACTCATGTAGGAACCTGAGAAACTGAAGTTGATTTTTTTAAAATTGCTACTGCCACAAATAAAGGATTAGTTTGTCTCACAGTCCCTTCTGCCAAGCCCTCTCTGCAATGCTAAAGCCCTAAATGACGCAAGCAAAGATTTGTTCAGGTTCTGAATATCCCATCTCACCGGGGCTCCTTTTCAATTTAAATGGGTTTATTTGTTACTATCAAAATTATATATATTCAGAGACAAATCATTAGTCTAATAAAGGATGTGCCACAAGAAGGCGTGGAGGCGTGTAAAAATTCTAGTTTCTTGTATCTTCAGTTTGTTTTTACGTCAAACACCATCCCAAACCACTCAAACATATTCAAGCTGTGATATAGACAACACTAACGTTCTGATGGTGGATCTTGATTACTCATCACTGTTCCTCGTCCATCTACAGCTCCCGAACCAGCCCTACCCCACAAGGAATAAATTGGATCAAGTTGACAGATTAAACACCAATTTAGGTAGTTTAATGTAAGTCGCTATCGTGTAGGAAGCAATATACGGTGTACTCACTTTTTGCGCGGCCGTCACGACGTCGAGAGCTGTATTGTTATGAGGGGGCAGACACAGTGTTACTAAGCAAGGATCTGTGACGTCATTCCTACTGTGACGACATACACCAGAAAGTGAGAGGCACTCGGGTCCGATCGGCATATTCCGCGACCGCATTCAGTTACTCAAAACCCTCGTCTACAAAATTTACAATTTCAAAAGAATGGTGTATCATATTTTGGCCATACAATATATGACAAAACAGAATTTTCATAAAATATACTTGATCAGGGCCCCGATCCACAAAGTACTTGTGTCACTTCTTCATCCGTAAGCCTGTGTTAAATTTCCGTTGTGATTGTTCGTAACACTTCAAACGGTCTGTGTACTCAGATGCTTAATTCTCGTGTAAATGTTGAAATGTTGCTGAAATAACCTTTATAAAGCAATTATGAATTATTTTTCGATTAGGTCTTTTATAACTTTGAGAGGAAAGAAAACAGTGCACTTTCTGGAATGTCTTTGGCTCCCCGCCGCTGTAATTTGACCTAACGCTCACTAATTTTGTTTCTTACGCGTTAAACATTACACCCAGCGATAAATATACTTTTCCGCGCACGTTTTTACCACATGTAACAAGTCTCTCCTTCACTAGATTGAATTTTCAATTGCGTGTTTTCACATTGTAATATTACGTTGCAATATATTCCAGTTACATATCACAGCATCCTGTGTATAATCAGGTCTCGACAGACTACTGGTCGATAGAATACATCTTAGCCATGTCATAAAATACAAGGGAATACATTCAGCCAAGGGTGTCGTGCCGGGAAGGCTAAAATGTATTTTTCAGATGTCCCGGGAAGGCTAAAATTTATATTTCCCGGGAGAGCTAATTTCCAAGGGAGTAGAGAAGTACCGCCAAAGCTAAAGATACGGTGCAGTCGTTTGTATTGTATCATACAGTGGCAGTATCATAAATATAAGCGTATCTTTGGCAAAATCAAATCCGATGCAAATCACAAAATGTTTATTACAGCCTAGTCAGAGATCATATACGGATGTTGGCGAGAAATATTCATAATTATCTCGACAATAGCTTCAGAAATACCACGGCAGTGAAGATCAGTGTCCCCCCTTGAAACTCAAGGACAATGTTTTTCCTCCACGACGAGAGCTTATCATGTAAGAAGCGAATAACAGGATTGGGTGGTCAGGCTCGCTATCTTGGCTGGTGCATGCCATAGTATCCTATCGTATTGCGTAGATTGAAGCTTATACAGTCACTCACTGGATTGCCAGGACCAGACTTACTAATTACATGTATTGATTAGAGCAGAGTAAAAAATAAACAGAAGTCCGCAGAGTGGACCTAAAATAGCACCAATGGGGGAACTGGAATTTCAGACCTGTCAGAAGAAGACGACATTCCCCATTATTCCAGGGTCACCCAAACAGTTACTAAATTCAGACTTCAACACTTACAAGACCTTCAACCTCACCAACACTTGGTGACACTGCACTTGTTGCTGAGGCCGTCTGCTACTTCCGGTCTTTTGCCACCATTATGGCTTTCACTCAAAGGGCGTGTGTACTATTGACGATAGTCAGGTTCTGCTTAGACTTGCTTTTGCTGACACCAAACATTTCGAATTTTGGTGTTAAGAATATAAAAAAGCATGTTTAAAAATTATGGGAAAGGGGGTGGGGGTGTCTTTGGTTTTGTACGACATGCAGGGGAGTGTAACTTACTTTGTACATAAATGGGGGGGGGGCGTTATTCACATTATACATGCTACACTATATAATTCATCATCACCCTCATTGCCCTACATTATGAAGGGACCCTAACTTTAAAATCTGACCTCTGATTGGGTCAAGACTTCAAGCATACAACAGTAAGTTTCAGGTTTGAGCAGACACAGTAGGTCTGATGCAACAATTTGTGAGTGTATGCTGGGGAGCAGGTGGTAGGATGTGTATGGTTGTAGTTTAAATCTGGATACAGACAGCTATCTTGAAGCATGAAATATATTTGCTAATATATCAGCTATGGCACCATCCTATTGTATTCCCTATGGTTCCTTCTAATAAGGGAATTCTTTCAACAACTTTCGTCCCCAACTTCAGGAGTACCTTACCTTACATATTCATGAACTGACATTCCCTGGGTGTTTGTTGACAGATCTATATAAAAGCAGATACAAGTCTACTGGGGCGCTGTTACACAAAGTCCGAACGTATGTCGTATCTCCCATATTACAGGGATCGCGGGGTAACCTACTGGTTAACGTATTTGCTGGTCATGCCAAATCGTTTCCCCACATGGGTCCAATGTGTGAAGCCCATTTCTGGTTTCCCCTGCTGTGATATAGCTGGAATATTGCTAAAAGTGGTGTAAAATCATACACACTCACACCAATCGTCAGCTGTTCATTTAAAACTAGTGGATTAAGAAATAAAAAGGAACAATTACATGTATTGTTAGTAATTGTTAGTAAACTTACCTCTGGATTATGGTTGCCTTAATTCTGTGGTTCCCACAGTCACATACAGAAAATACAAAAATGAAAAAATTTAACCCTAAGTCACAGCTATCCCTAGTGGTATGCTTTAGCTCTTAACTCCAAGAGTTACCTCCCCTTGACATGACGTCATCCTATTGTCTGTTTGAGAACTTCACAATTTTCCCCAAAATATAACTTCTGGGGGATAAGGCGGGGAAAGTCGGTCGGGACATAAATCCCATAATCCAGAGGTAAGTTTACTAACAATTACTAACAATACTATATCAATATTGCTTTTCGCGGGTCCATAAAAACAGGTATTGGCCGAATTCGCCAGTCTATAATTGTTTTATTATGTAATTACCGAAAAAAGCTTCTACAATCCAAAACATGTCCATTTAGTCAAGAAAAGTACTTTTATTTTCACTACAATCCAATAACGTTATGTCAACAATACTGTGACATGTAAACAATAAAATGACGTCATAGCTTGACGTGAATGACGTCATAGCTTGACGTCATAGTAACTCAGGTCAATATGACTTTTGGTCGGACCTGGGTTGGAGTCAATATGCTTTTGTGTCGACGGTCACGTGACCGCCTCTAGACCAATCAGGAAGCCGGAAAAATATGCTTGCATAATAAATGTAATTGTTCCTAATTATAGCGTAAACCTTCCCTCTGCATTATGGCTGCCTGAATCCCACATAAGGATGGTGGGCTATCCCTAGAAGTATAATCCTCTACATACCACTAATAAATATTCCTGAAAACATCCCAGACCTTCTAGGATAACTATGACTTAAGAATATCTAACTCCCTATTAACTCGTAGAGTTGTATTAAATGTGAAGGAAGATCAACATCAATCATTAGGTGAGCAGTCTCTTTCCTTCCTGACTAAGTATTTACAATGAATAATTCATCCAAGACCTATCGTTACTTTTACATGACTTCCGGATATCTGACGTCACTTCCGGTTCACGCCTGGAATCTGCTTCCGGTCTATGACGTGACTTCCGGTTTATGGTGTCTCCTCCACTCTTATGACGTCACTTCCGGTACATGACGTCATTCCGGTGCAAGACGTCACTTCCGGTCTATGACGTCACATCCGGTACCTTAATTTGATCCCAAAACCGTTAATTCCTTCCCTGGACGTCATTTCCGGTTCTGAGACACTTCTGGTTGTCTATTTGACCAAAACTTCATAATAGTGGAACGATAGAAAGAGACTACTCCCCAAATAACTGAACCACACAAATTTGCTCCGTTAGTTAATAAAAGGAATATACAAACGTTCCTTACTTGAGTCTACTCATTATTTATCTTCCTTCCTTGATGTGAGTCACACTTGAAGACCGGGTGCCCGACACACTTGGTCCCACACACACACACCACCCCACCCCCACAATAAAAAAGAATAAATAAAATAAAAATAAATAAGTGGCAATAGGCGGAGGAAAGGTGTTGTGCCACTACTAAAGGACCCAGGGACTTAAGGCCCTCCATAGAAGAGGCAACATCTCTTAAATTAAAATTAATAAAAGTATTCTGAGATTTCCATTGACAGCTCATGACTACTTTCTCAACTGAAACTGAGCCCCATGCCGCTAAAGAAGAAGCGTGAGGGGAAACTTAATGGAAACTGTCTCTTGATCCACAGTCCGTTTGAGTCAGAAACGGACCGATGAATTGCAAATTTTATCATTGTACAAAATTGCCACAAAAATATAAATAGTACACATGTTTATCATTTACTAATACCCATCAGCTATCTTATATTTGAAAATTTTCCGGACTCCACCAAAAAAAGTTGTTTAAGAAACTATCATCATTGAAAACGCAAAAGTTGTTATCTGTCGCGGCAGGGTGAAACCACAGAAACGGAACTAACTGGGCATATCGCAGCAAACTCTCAACAAACGCACCAGAGTACAAAATGCAGCAGCAAGACTCATCACTGGTGCAGGCAAATATGAACACATCACGCCAACATTACGTACACTGCATTGGCTGCCAATCAGACAAAGAATTGTCTTCAAGGAGTTGGTGTTTGTGCACAAGGCCCTTCACAACCAAGCTCCAGAATACCTGACTGAACTAGTGTCATGGTAACAGCCATCGCGAACCCTGAGATCAGCCTCTTTAATACAAGTAGTAGTGCCCTCTACCCACAGAGCGAGTTATGGCGATAGAGTTTTCGCCAAAGCAGGTCCTCTGTTATGGAACCAACTACCTGAAAACTTGAAAAACTTGTCAGACATGATTCCATTCAAAAAAGAACTAAAAACAGTTCTTTTCCACAGAGCATTCGACCAAGCGCCTTAGAGCAAACCTTGGATTCAGGCGCTATACAAATTTTAACATTATTATTATTATTATAAATTGAGACCTCTGGAGGAGGCACACTCCCTTGAGGACCTTGCTGTCGACTGTCCACCATAATAGTTCCTGACGTACTAAGTTCGGATGGGAGATCGTTTCCTCTAGATCCCGATTGCGGAATTGGTTAAGCCAAATCTGAGGTTCCCGCAAACGTATTCTGCCTCTCATAGTAAAGTCTTGAATGGACGTGAGAGAGCCGATCAGAGACATCCACACACGAATCGATACAGCTTCGTTCCCCAGTAGACTGAAAATCCTGGTCCGAATCTGGTCCCATCAATCCTGTGGGGTGTAGATTCGGCCTGGCTTGGCATCGAGAATGGCTCCCAGATACCTGATTCTCGACGTAGGTTCCAGTTCCGATTTGACAGGGTGAATTATGAAACCGAGATGTGTGAACACATGGATGATAAATTTTGATTGTTTGATCAGGATTTGAGTTATCATATTCCTTGCCAGAAAGTCGTCCACGTATCCATGAATAGCGATCTGGCGGCGATGTAAAAACGCCAGGATTGGATTTATAACCACTGTGAAGTGCCAAGGAGCCAGCGATATCCCGAACGGCAGAATGTGAAACTGGAACCTCCAGCCGTTTACCGCAAAACGAAGATACTTCTGAGAACGAGGATGAATAGGCACATGTAGATAAGCGTCCTTCAGGTCTATGCTGATGAACTTGGAGTCCCGTTGTATAAGAGTTCTCAAGTTGGCCAGAGATTCTATCTTGAACTTGGTGGTCTTCTGAAGTAATTCTTCTTCAATACTTTTAGGTCTATTATCATCCTAATTTCGTCCGTATCTTTCTTGGGCACAAGAAATACCGGGGAGTAGAATCCGCAAGACTGATCCTCCTGAGGAATTTCCAATATAGCTCTTTTGTCTAGTAACTGCTGAATGGCTACCGACGCTCCCGTTAAACGATCTCCCTGCAGGAAAAATCTCCTTCCCCTCGGCTGATAAGTTACTGGGGGAAGTTTGTCCCACGGCAGGATAAATCCCCTCTCTATGACTGACAGTATCCAGCTGTCTGATGTAATTTGATTCCAATTGTCTATATACTGTGCGAGACGACCCCCCACTGGGGATTGAGCTACCAGTTGAACAAAATCGAAATCTGTCTCTAAGTCGAGGGACATTTCCAAATCGCAAGGTGGAGTAAGTTGAGTGTTGTTGGACCTAAGTCAAAATGTCCTAGCACCTGCCCTTGATCCACGAAAAAAACCGGTACCTCTGCCTCTGCCCCTAGTAGAGGGGAATCCCCTGGAGTTTGAAGACACAGACAAAGATCGTGACCTAGTATCAGTTGCTCTTTCAAAGGCTAAACATTAGAATGGTTCCCGGCGGATAGATGAGGACGACCGAGTTGTATGTGCCGGCGGATCACTCCTAGCTCTAGCCTGAGGTCTGCCTCTGTTCTGTGAAAGCAGGGCCGAAGCTAATCTTTGATTTAAATTCCGCGAAGTAACAGCGTCCTTAGCCTGAATTGTTTGACTGCATTGTCCATGGAACAGAGACTCCGAATTAAGGGGCTTTTGAAAAAGCAATTCCTTGGCCGACTCAGGTAAACTCCTAACTGAACTCAACCTAGATGTTCTCTCTATAGCTGTAAGTCTTCCGATATTACAGATCTGGTTATGAGTAGCATCCACCACTGTCTGATATACCACATCCAGAAAGGAATGCGCCATAGCAACCTCTTCCGCAGACATAGAAACTAACGTGTCCTTCTTAACACCCTCGTAATTCTGGAACAGTGGCGGCAATAATGCCTGAACTCCCGCGGCAAACCAATTGGTGTAGGATAAAATGTCTATGGATGCACGTGAGGAGACATTAATGTCCTTAAGATCCTTAAACTGGCAGTTGAAGGAAGCATCCCTGGGTTTAAAGTCCTGCAGCTGGGAAAAATCCTTATCCAATTGAGGAGTATTAGCTGGTATAATCCTGTCATGGATGGCATAGATCACTTTCTGAACTGGCTTGGGTAGGGACGCAAGGGTAGACGCCTTGGACATATTAGCATTGTAAGATTCCAGTGATTATTTCAAGGCCGAGGAATGAGGGAGAGATAATTTAGATAACTTTTCCGGGTGTAGGCAGCCTGAGGCACCAAGTTCCACAGGTATCTCCCGTTCTGTTTCATCTGTTTGAGGCGGGACAGTGGTTGGATATAAGTCATGTATTAACTCCCAACTTCTCCCTAAATGACCAGCCCGGGGGTGAAGTCTTCCAACAACATATTAATAGGTTGAACCGTGAGCAACCCTTCCTTCATGATAACATTAGGTTGATGTAACGGATAAATAGAGGAACTCTCCGAGTCAGACAAGTCAGGAATCTGTTGCCTGTTAGTATCGATGTATTCCATGGCTGGCTGTCGGCCCGGACCCATCACCGTTAGGACCCGTGCAGGTGGAGGCTTGCTGGTTACCAGTGGGTTGGGAGTTGAAGGCGGGAAGCACGTGCTCAATACCGCTACCCGACTGAACCCGATTTCGACCTAGATTTAGATCTTGCCTTAGAGTCTGATCTTTGAGAGGAAGATGGTGTACTAGGAGTACATTTCTTAGTCTTACTAGATTCTGCCCCCGGAGAAGATTTACGCTTTTTGGACTGACACCTACCCGCCTCCATATTGAGCCATTCAATTTCAGATAAATCTGAACACAATAGACAGCGATCTACTAAGGTGCATGGGATACCCGAAAAACACGCTACACATAAGGAATGAGGGTCAAGATCGGGCATGAACTTTTGGCATTGGACACATTTGGTTTTCGCCATATCTTCCTGAAAAACTAAGGAAAAAAGGGTGGGAAAATATAGCAAAATATAACATAAAATAATACAAATACGATTGTCCATAGGACCAAATGTCGACACCACTAACCTACTACGATGAGTCTAGTGCAGAAGACTGTGTAAAGTTTTGGGACAAATGAGATATTCTGCAGATTTTACTAAGTGTCCAGATTTTCACTAATTGGGGTTTAATAATTTAGTGGCTATGTCTTTTCCTGCCACTGCCTTGAAAACATTCCACACCAATATCAACATATGCAGAATCAAACCCTTGCCTAGGCCTGAAATGTCAGAACACCAACCACTGTGCTAAACAACCAAGACAGAAGGCAGACAGGAATTGTATCTAAAATTTATTCTCTATCAACAAGCATTACATCACGGGTTACATATACCATACAAACAACAAAATGTGGTAAAATTACAGACACTGACTGCAAAGACGGAAATAAATAGTACAGGAGAAGATAGTCAGAAAAGCAGGAGAGCATAAATGTTTACAAAATAACTAAAAAGAGTAGGAACGTAAGTAGAGCATCCAGCAGCCGTGCAAACTGAATCTGAATCTCAAGGTCAAGGTCAACGACCACAGTATCTGGTTCATCTAAATGAACTTTGTAGTCCAGTTTTTAGGATCATGCATACTGTATAGACTACAAAACAGGAAATGGTAAATATCCTTGATCAGGGTTCAATGTGATAGCATACCAGCCCTGAATGAGGACATTTATCAACCCTGTTGTTCATCAAGACTATTTGGTAATAATACCGCTATGAAAACACTGAAAAATACAATATCGGTGGAACATTTGGCAATAAGGGGGCAAAAATAATTGCTGAAAATCAAAAATAATTTCACTTTGGAAAAGTGACCTCACTGGAGATTCTGGATATATGATATATGCTGATATACGCTGATATACAGCCAGATTGTTCACACAGCTTGCGTATGAGCGGGGAGTCCTGATCAATTCAACCCAGCAGTATGGTAGTAAACTTTTGTTGTAAAGAATCAAAAAGAATACATATTTTTCGCATAAATACATCTTCCTACATATTACAAACTGTACACATGGAAGAGCAACTTGAATGATCCATGCCGAGACACAGATGAAAGAAATTAGAATATGACCACGTACAAAATATTCAATGAGATGATGATCTCATGATCTTTATATCAATGTTGTTTTAGAAAGTGGATGAAGTTGTCTTGATGATGCCGCTTTCCTTACAATAGGTTGAGAAGGTGGAAGTTTTATTCATACAAGTCAGCTGATTATATAATGATTCACATTTGCAATGTTTAATCATGATGCCTTTGAATAATAAAAAGGACAGTAACAAAATGAAAACATGAGGGAATATAGAATCCAGGAGAAAGGTCGATGCGACCTGCTTAAAGCAACGATTTTTCAAGGCATGCTTGACACAAGGCTGGAGCTACACGACATCTTTTCATAAAACATTAACTTCATAGTAAGCAATTTGTATCAATAAAATTTCACACATTCACGGGGTGTAACAGTTTGTAGTTTCCTTGTCTGTGGATGCTAAAGCTTTGACGGAGGTGACAGACCAGCTTCCTGAATATGATTTCTCACCAAAGGGATAAGATCATTTGACATCGTTTCAAACGTGTGACACACCAAGGCAGCAAGATTTGGATATAACTGTATCATGATGAGATCTGGAAACAATGTGTTGATTTGGACATTGTGTGCAGGATAATGATTTTGTCAATCCTACATTCTCAAAACTGAATTCAGTATCAAATTCCAACTCCTGTTCAATGCACATTTGTTGATAATTACAGCAAACACACCAAATTTATGTTGGCCCCCATTTCGAAGAGTGTGAATCCAAGTGCCCTTTGAACAGCCTTGGTGTGTCACATGGCCTTGACCTTGAACCTAGCTCTGGACCAAGCTCCAATACTTTGCATCTGGACCTACACTACTGCTCACAATATCCTACCCTTTTATGCTATTAATGCAGTACCACTGTGATATGATTGCAGAATCACAACAGTAATACAACAGTAAGTTAGTGGTTATAACCCAAAACAGTACAATTGTGTACTAATGTACAGCTAATGTACGTAGCGCCGACAGCAGGCAATGTGTCTGGATATCAGCACCATATAAGCGGACTATTACTATCACTAATTGTGATAAAGAGGGAATTATTTATGAGCAGCAGTGTACATCCAAAATTTTAACCATGGATCAAGCTCAAAGATGTTAAACATGAACTTTGTTTCTTACATTTTCCCATAATTTAGCTTATGATCTTGTTCCAGAGTTTTAGTTCCATAACTCCGGCCATATACCTAGCTCCATGATCGGAATTCTGAGCCAAGTTCCTCACTTTAACATGTTGTAATTTTACCTCTTTCCAAATTATGTTCCAAAGCCTTGCACTGACCTAGTTCCAGAACAGTTTAACTTTGGACCTAGTTCTAGTGACCTACGACATCCTTGTTCCACAAAATCCAATCTGGAGCTTGTTATTTCAAACAAAGTTTCAAAACTCAGTAAAAAATATCAAAAACAAAAATTCCTTAAATGGTGATCATATTTCAAGAAGCTGAAGGAACACACCTTGGAATATGCTATGCTTGTTGGTCCTGCCCATACTGAATATTTTAAAGTGGAATGACTTCACAAAACAAATATGAAAGCTGATTTGTATTCATGAGAGAAAATAATTGAACTCTGATTAACACTGTAGCAGATCGTAAGATTCAGATCTTTGTAAACACTATGCACAAATGAATTTCAAATTTGATACTGACATAAATGAAAACATCAACCCTGGTCTTGTTGAACCATTTCAGGCCTCGGTGGTGTCATTGGCACGGCGGCGCCAGACTGCAGGGTTTGATTTCTGAAATGCACTGGTCATGTGGAATGAACATTTTGCACATAAGAGAACTCCCATGGACAATATGAGCATTTTGAAGGGAACCGTCTTCCTCTCCCTCAAACTTCCATCATAGAATGAAATAGAAAAAATAGGATTTACATCAAGTCATGTGTTTACTTGGTTTAAAAAAAACAATCCTTCAGACAGGTCCTGTCCAAACATATACATAAATCTACCTTGTAAATTAGTGTAATAGTTTAATTAGTTACGTGTACCTGTTACATCTGCATTCTACGAAGAGAGAGTAGAGTGGCTATGATTACACCCGTGCTTTGTGCTCAAGAATGTTTGCATCAGAGGAGACACATGAAAACTATTTCTTTGACATCACTGTTGGACTTAACAGAAAGGAAAACACCTGCATACCTTCAGGATTTCTTTTAATATACGGATGATCCTTTCTTTATGTTCTTGTTTCCAATTATCAGATATATGACAATCTGCTAGTTATAGTAATTGCCCATAACAGAGTTGGATACAAAATTGAAAAACCCGGATATACCTAAATCCAGAAATACTTGTCTGAGGACACAGTCAACAGATAAGATGTCTGAAAATCTGTTTGTGTGCGTGTTCCACCAACTTACTCCTCAAGTGGCCATATAATAGTCGGATTCCTTATGGATACACCCAAATACTGGCTCCATATAAGGTAATGCTGTGGGTTTGAGCTCATGAATATTCATGAATTTGACCCAATTTGGGAAATTGGTTTGTGTTTCCACCTTCGAAAAAATCTCCTGAATCTAAACGTTCGAATGTTAACATCCAATAAAGACATTTACATAAGCAACAGAGATGCAAAACACAGAGCCACAAGTTTACACAATATAGCTTACATTGTAAACATCATAGTAATTGCACAGAATTGTTGCCGTGACAACATGAGGGTCTCAAAGGTGGGCCATCATGGCGACTCTAATATTTACTGATAGAACAGATATGTGGGTGTTTTGAGTCATTTCTGCCACACAGTGACATTTTGCATCAATATTCTTGTTCACAGGTGAAAATAATCTATTTCTTGAAAACTTGAATGCAGCACCCCATCGAGACCCTCATGTAACCATGGAGACAGGAAGGCTGAATATCTGACCAGTTCAGACTAAGAAAGGCTGTACATACAGGTGAGTCAATATAGGTCAGAGATTGCACTATTTCCTTATAAAATCATTCAACAGATGAAAGATCATACACCAGACCTGTCAACCCTAACACAGTCATTTACAAGCCTTTATACATAATTTGTTCGACAAAATGTCACCTTAGAGATATTTTGTTCTTAATCAATGACTAACCGATCTCGTTACCTTTTAAATTAACCATGCTCTGTTTATTCATTCCAAGATTAATTTCATGAATTCGTAATACCGAAGATCGCAAATAACAATAAAACCATCGCTACCAATAAAACAAATGTTTCACAAAGTCGAAATACATTCACACAAAATTAAAATATCAAATGGAAAACAAAGTAATTCCCGAAGAAACCTCAAAGATGTACAAATGGGATACAGGTTCATGGACATTTTGTTGTTTGTGAATGACAACAGTATAGTTGAAGTGCTGTGTAGGTATTGTATCAGACGAATAACACTGCTGTACAGATCAGCTAAATTCTGGCCATATATGTTCATGCACAGTATTCAGTATGAAGGAAAGTTAACATTTAATGTTGCCGTGACGACAGATCGGTGCCATGATTCCCACCATACTGTTATCGTGTCCTGTTATCGTGTACTGTGATCGCACCTCACCACAAACCAGTAACAGTTGAACAGGAAGTCCACACAGTTTCGGCAATCAAACAAAATGACGATATTTGTACAAAATGTTGAATTGTTCGGACAAGTTCCGTGGAGCTTGTTCTGCAATGTCTTCCAACATGATATGGCAAGTGTTTCCAAGTTGGCGCAGACGTGACAGTGTTCATGCAGACAAATGATGACAGATTTAACGAGCGTCACAATCCACTAACACAGTGACCCCTGGTGGCGGCTAGAGACATCAGTCATACGTGTAGATTTCAACACCAAGTTGACAACAGCTCACACGAGTGATGCACAGACACGTGACCACAGTCTGGAAGGGGAAAAAAGGGAATGATTAATTATTTGTAATACATACATACATACATACATACATACATACATACATACATACATACATACATACATACATACATACATACATACATACATACATACATACATACATACATATATACATACACACATACATATATATATATCTTATATCATGTACTTATGAATATTGTGTCAGTTAGCAGGCAGCAGTAGAAGATTTCAGGAACATGGGGAGATTTAGATAAGATAAAGGAATATTTATCATCAGGATCATTAACCAACCTTAAATGAGATAAGAGAGGACTGTGTAATCGTGTAATGATAATAATACGAGGCTCAAGATAAAATACATCGATTTACAACTCCTGTATTGCAACGTATACCATACATGACAAGTTCTATTGACGTCAATTATTATTGAATATAATAACGGAAACTGAACCAGTTTAAGCAGATTCACTAGTATTTTCTGGTTGTCTATAAATAGCAGAATCTGTGAATTGTTTATGAGTTCCTCCCCTACAAAATCCCATCTTTGCTGTCTGAGAGTTAAAAAACATGGAAACAAAAAATAAAATTCGCATCTGGGTCTAACCCCCAAAAGGCACATCTAGGGATCATGGTTGACATGTGTACCAAGTGTGGTTAAGCTATCATGAATAGTTTAGGAGATTTGCTTCGGACAAAGTGTGATGGACGGATGGACAGACGGAACTCGTTTCTATATCCCCCAACAAAGTTGCGGGGGATAAAAACAAATGATTTAGGGCTGTGATTCACCTGAGGAAAGGGAGGGTATAAAAACTTTTGGAATAAAAGTACTTTATCGGGATACAAATCGTATTGAACCCATATTATCAGGAAGCGCATTATATCGTAGCTTCACTGTATTGTCAGACCTGTAGAATTAATGTTTCATCAAAGCCACAGTTGAAAATAGCCGCCCCTCCCAAAGTGTATGTCAGTCAAGTACAAATCCAGTAATGTGTCAAACGTTACAGTCTGTATGTACATTAGATGCTTCCAACAACCTCTAATCCTTGGTACGAAAAGGTCGCTGTATGCACATCGATATATGAAATTACAAAATATTACAACTCACTTAAGCTTAGAAGAGACCACAATCTTTGAGGTTGTTCTTGATGATGACATCAGTGACAGCATCAAAAACAAACTGCACATTGTTGGTGTCCGTGGCACAGGTGAAGTGGGTGTAGATCTCCTTTGTGTCCTTGCGTTTGTTGAGGTTCTCGAACTGGAGCTGGATGTAGGCCGCTGCTTCCTCGTAGGTGTTGGAGCCTGCAACACAAGGTCAAGGTCAGACCAGTCGTAAAGAGGCCTATAAGGCTTTGATTGGCAAGGGGGCTGGTTGTCATTTTAGAACCCTTGGGAGACCGGTGAAAAGACACTATATAACGCCTAATGCTGTACACATTACTAACTCACATAATCATTCACAGGAGCAGCTTAAAAACCCATCTATTCGGTCACAGTTTGTCTTGAGGATCGGCGAGTGAGTGAGTGAGTGAGTGAGTGAGTGAGTGAGTGAGTGAGTTTAGTTTTACGCCACTTTAGCAATATTCCAGCAAGATCATGGCAGGGGACACCAGAAATGGTGAGGTGAACTGGAGTGTAACATTGTGCTTAAGATTATTGCATGTATATAGCAACGGACACCCACATGTGGCTGCTTGTATTAGTCCAGATTCGGACAACGGATGTATCATGAACATGCGTTAACACTCATTCAAACAGTATACTGACTATGAGTTGAGCAGTCCTTGTTTTGGAAGGGAAAGAACTGTTGTTTAATGCTTTTGGGAAAGAGGAGGCCTGTGTTGGAAGCACCAACCTTCAACTCACAGTGCACACACTCTATCAACTGGACCAAGGAGGCAGCGGTCGTGTACATCATATATGTAATGTGCACAGGTCAAAAGACTGACAAGTAATATAGGAAATTGAAATTTAGCCTGCAACAGTCTTACCAGCTTCAGCAGCAAATGTAAGCAGGTACAGTGAACAACATTGACAATATAGTGTTTGTAAATTACTTCGAACATCAGGAATAGAAACGTAATGTATCAACCAGGTCAGCTGACTGACAGATCCCGTTAGTCAGCCTCTTACAACAAGCATGGGTTGCTGAAGACCAATTTCAACAGGTCAAGGTAAGTTAAATGGAGATAAAATGCCTCTGGATTATCGAGGATGCCCCAGCTAGAGTGTTTCCATTTTGACTGTGCTGTTACCTGTAAACTCTGGGAAGCAGATAGTGAGGGCTGACTTCTTGATCTTCTCCTCAAACAGATCCTTCTTGTTGAGGAAGAGGATGATGGAGGTGTCGGTGAACCACTTGTTGTTGCAGATAGAGTCGAACAGCTTCATACTCTCCATCATACGGTTCTGGGGAGACATCGTCAACACATCAATCAAAAGACTTCTGGAATATTCTTCTACACATATTTGTACTCAGGACGTCTCACAGTGAACCTACGCATGATCATCTTACTATATTATAGAGATATTCGTAACTGGCTTAATAGATACTGCCAGATTTCTCAAGACAGGATAAATTTAAAAAATACGAGTGAGTGAGTATGTTTTAGCAATATTCTAGCAATGTCATCGCAGGGGACACCAGAAATGGGCTTCACACATTGTACCCATGTGGGGAATCGAACCCGGGTCTTCGGCATGACGAATGAACGCTTTAACCACTAGGCTACCCTACTGCCCTTTAAAATCGGAGAACTGTTTCCTGGGATTATGTAAGAGCCAGAATGGTGAGGATGTATTTCAAAAGTTTAATTAAAATAGTGACAGGTATACGACTATTAGTATCGCTTACAAAATACCTTCAGTTACATACAAGTTTAATGCTCTGCACATGAAATGATGGGTGTGGAAAATTTGATCACTTGATGCCTTATAACTGCTGCTGTTACAGTTCAGACCACTCACCATCTCCTGATCCTCAGCTAAAGTGAGGTCGTACTCGCTCATGGCTACGATGAAGATGATGGCAGTCACACCTTCAAAACAGTGGATCCACTTTTTCCTCTCAGACCGCTGGCCGACAACGTCAAACATTCTGTAACAACACATAGACAGTCCAGAAAAGAAATTCACAGAAATAAGTCCATCCACTTTGAGAGTGAGTTAAAACCTAAAGTCAAACCAGCAGTATTTCGGGCATACAATGACAAATCATACCACAAGACAAATACAGGAGCTAAACAGACATGATACACAAAGGCTAGTTTGGAAAACACAACTTGAGTCTCAGGAGGAAAAAAATATATTAGAACCCTTTTACCTGATTTTCTGCAGAGAATTCTTATTGAAAAACTGACTCAAATATCACAATGTGTCTTGAATCAAGTTACTTAGCCACCAACGCTTTTCTATAAGCTGACAGTCTTTAAGGCCATGTCATGTCTGAATTATCTCCCTTTGACCATATTCAAATGTTAATTACATTAATACAAAAGGGTTCCATAGTAGCATTGGGCAAAATCTTTGAATATTGAAGTAACAGGCAATTTAGAAATAAGATATTGATAATATTTGCATTATCTTCAAAAAGCATTCAGCATTTTACATATTGAGATACATATTAAGATACATATCTTATCTTCAGTTTTTCTTCCACTTACTTGAAATGTAAATCTTTAAATGTGAAGTGTGTCTCTACGATGCCAGTTGTCTTCACTCTTGTTCTCAGCACATCCTGCTCTGTGGGGATGTAGCCAGGGTTGGAGATACGGTCCAGAGCATTCAGGTAGCTGAAGCACATCATATCAGTGATAGGTATGTTAATATGGATCAAGTGGGTGAATATGGTTTTACACCACTTTTAGCAATATTCAAGCATTATCATGGTGGGTGACATCAGGAATAGACTTCACATGTACCAATGAAGGGAATCAAACCCAGGTCTTTGGTGAGATGAGCGAATGCTTTAACAACATGGCTACCCCCGTCCCATTTTAACAGGGAGCCAACTTTGACTAAGGAACTGATGCAAAGTTAGCCTTCAAATAAAAAAGCTAGATAAATAAATTATCTTTGCACATCCATACATATGTGGATATTTTTTAGTGAAATGGGGGGAGTAAATAAATTTTTAAAAGGACCAAATACAAAATAAAACTGAATCCACAAGTGTCTGATCACAGAAATTATCATAGCGTTATCTCCCTTTGGTCATCTCAGCAATGACTATTTATTCCAGCATTGTAAGAATAAAGTGATATCATTTTGATAGTAAAATCAGTGTCATATTTCAATATATACACCATATAACAACATATTCTCCGCATTTTGAATTTATAACATAGCTAAGGTAAACAAAAACAATTTATTCAAATTTTACATAAATTTCTTAGTCTTAGTAGTCTGTTCTGATACTTTTTACTCAATATTGAACACACTTTATTTAATCGACATGAGAAGTTTTTGACACATCACCAAGTATTCATCTCAGGATTTAAATTGCCTTCAGCAGACGTGTCTTGTCTTGACGATATTGACATCCATTACTTACTATTCTGCTGAGTCATTGAGCTGGTACTCTCGAGATCGACTGAAGCACTCTTGTACACCGAGGTCCTTCCAGAGTCGCTTCATCAGTGTGGCCACCTCTGCCGACAGCTCCCCCTCGTCAGCATTCCCAGACAGCGAGAAGAACTGGCGTGCATCATCCTGGAAACAAAAACAAACTCAATTAATTCAATTTTCAAATGATTCATGATTCACAAATACATGAGGCACTTTGTTTCATTGTTTAAAGCCTCATTCTGCAATATTCCAGCCAAAGTGCCTGTGATTGTAGCCTGGAAATTATCAAATCACGTGGTTGTAAATGATCAAATCACGGGGTTGTAAATGATCAAATCACGGGGTTGTAAATGATCAAATCACGGGGTTGTAAATTATCAAATCAGAGTTGGGATCAAATCTGTAAATGATCAAATCACAGGGTTGTAAATGATCAAATCCAGTGATTGATATTGTGAGAGATGATCAGCGAGACTGGGAATGACGATGCTCAATCAACCCAGCTATGAAGTCTGACAATCCACCACTTCTAACCAGCATCAGAAGGTTGCCAGGGTGAAATTGTAACCAAGAATCCCCTTGGGGGTAAATATGATAAACTGAAACATAATACAGTTTGGCATGAATGTCATTTGTGAAGTGGTTTCCGTGATTTTACAAAAATCATACATTTATTCTTTCTCCCCATGGACGACTGTCGCAGTTATATCCCAGCAACCTCTACATAGCCGAGTCAGGGCAACTAGATCAGTGGCTTATAGCGTGAGCACAACATGAAACGGTTTGCCTGTTTACATAAATTACGCTTTTATCATTTGTCCCTGTGTCCCAGTGTTTCAGTTGTATCCCAGCAACTTGTAAGTAATGGATTCCAGTAACACCGACCAATGCAGAGATGCCAACCCTAATTTAGCCCAGTTAGTATTTGGCCAAAAAGTTATGCAATAATTAGTATTTTTGGGGCCAAAAGTAGTATTAACTTTTCAAAGAAATTTCATATTTAATAAAGAAATATATAGGCATTCTTGTAATTAACACTGTATGCACCTAAATCAGTAGTCAGTATCTACATATAGCTTGATACTGAATATGTGGTCAAAATTTATTGTGCTTGGTACGTATGCTACTTCATAATTTGATTTAATGTTGTTTTTTTAAATTCGCATATTTTTACTGCTATCGTAGTCGCGTATTTTGTGTTTTTTTTCGTAACGAATGCGATAAAATCGTATGGGTTGGCATCTCTGCCAAAGGCTAACAGTAGAAACACAGATTGTGAAGGCATGGATCTTAAGAGTCCCATTCTGCCCAAACTTAACGTTAATACTCAGCAAGTATATCAGCAATATTATCAGCAAGAATATCAGCAATATTTCAGTCTGGAAATACCCCTGAAAGTAGAAGGGATGACAACTGTACAGTATACAAGCACAGCTGGGTCCCATTTCACAAAGTGACCGTAATGCTACGACTGTTGTAAGTCATATACCATAACACTGGCTTACAAGACAAATGTGTTGGGAATTGGTTGAAATCTCACAATTGATGATTGGTTCATTAACAATGGGCAATCATCCCAAAAATTGGTTAGCATAATTTTTCAGATTTTCCTATTCAGGTTGTTATTGCAGCTAAGTATAACGTGGTTCTCTGTTGTTTTTAGTTTTATTTAGAAACTGCCCAAACAGCATTAGCAAATTTGACATCCAATTTAAAATGATGCTACTCACTACTTCAAAGTGATGACTAATATATCAGGAACATAAACTTTTTGGAGTCTTCAAGATATATTCAGTCATGACTTTTCAGTAAGCCAAGTGAGTTTCTAAGAATTAAACAGTTTTCAGGCCCTGACAACTTCTAAGATATGTTCCATCGTCAAGTGTTTCAAACGCTAAAAGAGTAGTTCCAAAATCGTTTGTGTTCGATTATGAGAAAAGGCGAGCGATTGCTTGGTTGTTTGGTCACTACGACCAATCCTCGATTATTTCAATTAATTGGAACACCACTCTACGACAATAGCAGTGTTATGATCGCTCTGTGGAACAGAAACCAGGACTTTTTAATTCTTGATTTCCATGCAAAGAAAGTGTCTTTCCAAATATCTGTTCACATATTTAGGTTTTATCTACACCTGCTCTTCGGTCTCAAGTTTGCCACCAATGTCAGTACAAATTCCCCTAAAGGAATTCATAAGTAGTTATAGTCGTAACCAATGATAATAATGTTTTGGTGCCGTGGTGGTGACGTGTACGTCTATAACTTCGCCTACATAGAGGGCCTGGCATAGGCGTTATTCAAATTGTGCTGTGTGAATCATTACATTCCTCCTGTCATGAGGAAAACTGTGTCCTTGTTCATTCCTGTATTTGTTTATTTATTTATTCCTCTGGGTCAGGCAATTTAGGTCCTTGTTTACAAAGGAACCTATTTCACATTTTTGCACACAACCAAATCTGTGCTGGTGACTGACAATCGTATTCCATATATGAACTTACATACATATATCACCTGGCATGACTCAATGCATGTCTGTCATCTAAACAAATGCCGATTCCACGTGGAATACATCGTGACTTGAGTACTGTGATGCATATAGTGTCGTGACTTACGTGTCTTAAACAAATAGTGGCATGACTCAAGAATTGTGACATATATCGTACGACTTGTGATACACATACTGTTGTGATACACAACTGTTCCACAACTCAGGTATATCATACTGTGTATCAAGTAATGGGATAAATATCATATCAGTACCTGACAGATATGTGAGGGAAAAATACAGCAATCCATCAACAGACTGGTCTAACATACACCTTTTCCAAACACCATGGCAACAGAAAACATTCACTGAAAACACACTGAAACAAACTGGTCTTGCTGTAATTTTGTTTGAAATAAAGATATTTGTAGGAATACATTTCGTATGACAACTCATGGTGTGAATGCTGTCATAATCATTATCAAATAACTGTTGGTAGATTTCCCACGTTGGTCTGTATATAGGGATAGGCACAGTAACAAGTGTGTTAGCCTGTAGAAATTGAGTTTAACTGGTTTTCTCCCCAAACTAGTTTATTTATACAAACGACACATATGATATGAGCTGCCGAGATATATTGGATTGATATGTATATTAGATTGATCATCATATCTAATAAGAAAAACTAAATATTAGAGAGCAGAAATTTTGTTTGTTGTTTAACACCACACACGGCAACTGAACATGATAATCCAGTGATTGACATCCTGCCATGGGGATACGATGACAAGCATCACCCAAGTCAGCAAGCCTGACCACCCAATCCCGTTAGTCGCCTCATACGATAAAACATGGGTTGCTGAAGACCAATTTGAACCCGGATCTTCATGTGCAAGTTATAACTTAGGGGTCCCCGAATCAAAAATTGTAGAAAGCCTGAATGTCCTCCCAGAAACCCCTTAATTTCCAACACAGATATCATACTCATACATTATCCTAACAAGTGCATCTAGTGTATTTCTTTCATGGAAGGTGAAATCTCCAACAGTTGTTGACACTCAGACAGATCAACAGCATTGTCCCTGTAATTACCAGCATACCAGGGGATAACATATCATTAGCATATTTCTACCACAGAATATTTCCCTGCCACATGTGTTACTCACTGTAAGTACCAACCAGGGTGTATACATATTGTTATACCATGACCAGTGGAGCATAGGACAGCTGAACATATAATGTATTATTGGATGTCAAAGCTTTATGTACCGTACTCGTCAAATAAGAACTCTCAACCGATTTTAAGGTAAATGTGTAAGAAACGTTCATAAATATCTCTTTAGACCGATCAACGCTCATGCTGTTGATCACTGGATTGTCAGGTCCAGACTCGATTATTTACAGACCAGCGCCGTATAGATGGAACATTGCTGAGTGCGGTGTTTGACAACAAACAAAACAAACAAATCCTATTAAGACACATTGTACCCATGTATGGAATCAAACCAGGGTTTTCGGGGTGTGGAGTGAACACTTTAACCACTAGGCTACCCCACCACCCCACCACCCCTATTAAGACCAAAACTGTGCATCACCGTGAGTATTTTCCTGTGTGTTTTACCAATATTTAACATGAAGCTGCGGCATAGGAGGACATACTATGGTAACTATGATTGACAAGGTTTTTTTGTTTAATTTTGATATTTGAAGTTAGTTTGTTCAGTTCCATTTAAACTCTGAAATGATTCCAGTTGTGTACGGTTTTGATAAGTACCATCTTTACAAATTTCCTAAGTGTCCAAGATGTGTATTAGAGTGAATACGGTAAGTTTGCTAATTACTGCTTCCAGGACCCCAGTCCAACAAAGATGACTGGACTGTTTTTGTATGTGTGGCAAATAACAGAATTACTGCGGTCAGGAAATCTACACATTTCAATATTAATACATCTATTATCTTGACAAGGGTTCTGTATGATGTCTACATGATGCTAGAGTCCTATGACAGGAGATAGTTGATGGAGAGGCAGATAATGTGCTTCTAAAAATCACAACCAGTTGCAGTCAAGTAGTCCCCATTCAGTCACCTTAAAAACAATATCTTCTTATGTAATCACACTATCAAGTGCCAGCATACAGCAGAAACGGAAATTATGTATAAATCAAGCCAAACCAACCTTGTTCAGAATTCAAATCTATCTCAATAATCATCCCATTGATCATGATTATATAATGTAACAGAATATGACCAGCTTCTAGGTTGGGGTTCAGTCAAGAAGTCAATATTTAACTGTTATGTCTACTGGACACCAAAACAGCAAGAAGAAAAATCCTTTAGGACTTAAGCCATAAAACTCTAAGAAAATGTTCATATTAGTCATCTCCAAATCGTACCAATCTATAGAAATGTACATCACACGTATGAAATATTCTGTATCCCAACACACAAAGAGGCTTTAACATTCCCTTATTCCAGTGAGTGAGTGAGTTTGATTTTTACGCTGCTTTTAGCAACATTCCAGCAAATATCATGGCAGGGGACACCAGAAATGGGCTTCACACATAGTGCCCATGTGGGGAATCGAACCCGGGTCTTCAGCGTGACGAGCGAACACTTTAACCACTAGGCTAAACCACACACACCCCCACCCCAACCCCCT